TGGCGTTTGGTTTTTGGAGAAGAAGTCGAAGAAACGTACGCGGTTGATGGTTTGTGCGTTTGATAAGGCGGTGTGTTTCGATTGAGGGTGTCCCACATTCGAGGTTTAAGAGTCTGGTGGGATTAGGCTCGCGTGAAACGCGCTGCATTCGTGGTGGGACCGCCGCATTCTCGGTAATTGCGAGGCCGCCATCTTGATGGAGCGCAGAGCGCCCAGTGGCGCCGCCAGAAACCACCAGCGGCGGAAAACCGTTTTCACCGCGTCGCGGTGTGGCACAGCAGCGACCCGACGCCGACACCGCTGCCGACGTTGCGTGACGTCACGAACCAGGCCGGGTACGTTGCGGAAAAACGTTGTCATGACGACGACCGCTGACGCTACCGTCGCCGCACCGTCGTTACCACCACCATCCACGATCCCCCGAGCTACATCCGCCAATGCCAAGGATCGAAAACGGCAAAAAACGATAGGGAGGAGAATTTTTACATCGCGAACGCGTTATTGCCATCTACTCCGGCCAACCCCCTGCTCCCGTGTATCGCCATCCGTCGCCGACGATGATCGCGAAGACGATCGCGAGAACCTCGGGAACTCGAATCCCATGTAGGTCATTCGATTTGGACTTCGGGGAGCAGGATTAACCGGTGTCAGACATTTTTGTTCCTACGACATCTTCATTAGAATCGACGCCGTAATGGCGGCAACAACCGTAATGCAGTCGAGTTGGAATGTTTAAAATCGTCGAAAGAGTAATGGTTCGAGGATCGTATGTATCGAGGAACACCGTTGTCTTCCGATTCGTTAATTATTTAGTTGAAAAGAGCAATATTGGTGGATTAAGGCTGACCTGGCAGAAATTGACCTAATCTGGACTTATGGAACTAAATTTTCATCGACTCTTACTTTGGCTTAAGATAAAATTTCAACAGTGGGCTTACGTTATCAGCCGGTCATTTGGTAATGAATGTAGGGAACGGAACGACACTAGGACTATGGAAGCTAATTAATATTTAATATAATTCATTTATATACTGGAAAGTTGGTTGTGCTTCCCAAATTTTAAACACCATTAAAGATCAAATAGGCCACCTACATATTTATTTTAATCCCTTTGAGATACATGAATTATCCAAAAATTTTTAACAACAATTGTTAATGCACAAAAATAAAGTATCATTCTCTAAGTAGTCATTCTGTTTATGGTTGGACAAATTAACCCACTCGCGCGAGTGTTGTAGCCTCCGAGGTGAGTTGCAAGTAGTAAGAGCACGAAATAGTCAGACGCAGTGGAAGAAAGTAAGTTTGGTGCGCCTATGGAGACCAGCTACGAGACTCGCCCGATACATTAGACGTTCTACCGACTAAGAATCATTAACTATCGAATACCGACATCATTACTTGTTGCATTACACAAATTGCTCTGATATTACGAAACTTGTGAAAAGTAAGAGAATGTAGGAAACATCCTCTAACGAAATTGTACGATGAAACGAACTCGAAACGAATACGATCTGGCTTTGGATAATGAATTACTTTTTTTAAATTGAATTAGTTGGAAATTACATCTCCTATTTTTCTGTTTAACACGCTATTCGTGTAACGAACTGCATAGTAGGCGTTGAGATAGTGCAGAGTATCGCACGACATTAATAAAAGTGTTAAGCACACAATGCAAAATTGTTGTTCTCACGGCATCAGCTGCAATGACACGACCCACAAAAGACAAAGTATATCTGAAGCTAAAGTACAGTGCAGAACAGGGCCATGCGTTCTTGCGAGGACAATCGATCGATTGCCCGTTTGCCTGCCTGCCTAACGCCTGACTTCTCTTACGGTCTAACTTGACGTTGCGCTTCGGAAGACCACACATCGGATGTGATCTCGATCACCTTGTTCTTAATCAATCGATAGAGCCTTGAACCCTTCATTATTTTTCACACACTCTCCCCGTCGAAAGTCTAATCTTATTTCTCTCTACAGTTAATTCTTAACAAATATCTGGGATCTTCCATGAATTTCAAAAAACTGTACTTCTTTCTATCGAAGTCGAATAAAACTTAATTTTGTATTTTTGGTTAATGGTAGCTGAAGTAGACAAGATTAAACTTTATTTTATATAGTATTGCATTTCTTATTGAAATCGACGAAGTTTGGTAATGTTTGATCAATGTTCTCTTCTCGAAAGAAGTACAATAATTCCAAAAACTATTGATATTACATAAATTTTAGTAAAATATTATTAATCACGACTGCCCCACCTAGCATTGACAAAATATTAAGATTTAAGTTATAGATCCAAGTACTGAATCTCATTCAATGCCTCCCATCAAGATATTTATACACGAACTATAAATACTCGATATTTATTTATACACCAAGAATTGCTTCGAACGAATTTGAAAAACTCCGTTAATTTTCACTTTGTAGTAACGTTTGATCAATAATTGCGTAAATAAAATTATCGAGTCGCATCCAAGTATACCAAACGAAATCAACATTTTTTCTTTTGATTGTTAATTGTCCACCGGGATAATAATAGGTCACAGATAGCGGAGTTCCATTAAAATACACTAACATCGAGGCTCTGTACACGCATACTCCTTTCGGTGCATTTGTGCTCAGAACGTCGTGCGAAGCATATCGCACCTGTTGCGTTTGATCGCTCATCGTTTGCCCTGCAAAATCTCCCTCCTTCTTTCGCCCTCGCCATCTCCGATGCGCGCGCGTTTTTTTTTTTTTGTTACACCCGTTATCATGGCGTATCAAAAAGTTTCGGTTACCCCTCAAACACCCTTAAAATCAGCGAATTCTTCGAAATCAATCTCTAACCTTCACCACTCTCGACAACCATTAATTCTGAAATTACAATTCTTGGGATTACGAGCTCTAAAACTGCAAATTTTTAGTATGGTAATTTCTAAAATTACGAGGATATCTTAAAATTGTAATTCTAAACGATTACGGTCGTTCGAAACCTCGAATTTTAAGCCATCTTGGGAAATGGAAATTTCGAATAAATAGAGTTTAGAAAAGCATTAACTATTAATTAGTAAAATCACAATTTCTAAAGTTGGGAGTGTATAATTTCGAATATTGCAAGTTCCAGGATGGAAAATTGTGATCAAGTCCTAAAATAGCAATTCTGGAAAATTTCGAGCCCCGTGCGTGTAATGCTATTTATAGGGGGTTGAACAATTCGAGGAAGCAACTAGACATCTATTAAGTATGGCATTCATGAATATATATGAAAATTGTATGATCAGGAAACATGTTGCACGCGAAACGCCAACAAGTGACCCTTGGAAGCATTATTTTACTGAATTGAATGTTATATGTATCGAGTACTAGCAACAGGAATGTTTAAACCGAGTCGAAGGAATCGAGATTGACGTCACGCTTTTCTCGTACCGAATGGACGGGAAAATACGCTTCCTTTTAGCACAGACAATGTAGCTTTGATACGACCTTTGACATTTCACGGCTATAGTATCGATCTTTTATTTATTAAGGAAAATACTTTATCGAACTTTAAGCGTTGCAAATATAGCGTTCTAAGAAGAATACTGTCTTTAATCGCATGCGATTTACGATCAAGCATTCACAATATCGAAACAAAAGACAACCGACAAATTTTAATTTACTAACTATGTAGGCGTGATCGCGAAAACTACTTCAAAAATTTCGCGTGTTCGATGCGTACAAGTGTTTGTATTAACGCATTGCATTGTGGATGTTATCTAAGTATAAAATTATTAAGTACGCGATACATTCGGCTGAAACTATTTACAAAGTACAATTGGAAAGGAAAAACAGTTATAAAACTGGATGATTCCTTTAAAGTTCTATATTTTCGTCGATTAAAGACGCACTTTCGAAACCTTAAACTTCAAGAAAACGTTAACCCCCTAGCACACGATATAACATTTTTCGATAAATCGATAAAAAACCAGTTCGATTGTCGCGAGTATTTTTTTTATGACATACCAAAGATTGCATCGTTTCGAATGATTTTTTTATTTAACTGCAGACTAGACGCGTTTATTTTTATCGATGAAGGCTCAAGGTGCTACTACCGCGAGTTAACCTACAAGACGAGGCTCCGAGCGTGACGGGGTTCGATCGATCCGACGATCGACGATCGACCGTTCGATATTTCGAATCGGTGGACACGGTTCACGCGTTTCCTCGCGTAAGGAAAGTCCCTGCGAAAGTCGTCGTGCACGAGTCCGGTGATCGATACCATCGCACGACTCCTAAGCGGATCGTGCACGTCGTATTGACCGGCAATTTTCGCGCGGAGGAAGGTCATCACGAGACACAAGAATACAAGCGGGCATACGGAGGAACACGATATAAACGTACTGTCACGAGCGCTCGGAAACACACGACCTTCGTCTACCAACACAACGGACCAGGCCGAAACCTATTTCACGTGCGACCAATCTCGAGAAGAGTCGAGCAAAGAAGAAGAGCAAGCGCTTATCGTCGTCGCGAGTGAACCCCTGACTGATCCCTGACCGAGGCGGTATCGATCGATATATCGAGAATGGAACAGCAGTCGCGCGTCACGCTATAAGTAGATATATGTCACCTGTATATGTGTGTGTATGTGTGTGTCACCTTACGATTCGATTCGTACTTATCCTCTCGACTAATCGAAACGGAACGTTACTGGTCACGGTAATTGATTATCAAGGGGCTGTCGCGTAATTGTCGACGATACGTACGATGGATTTCCGTTCGCGACGGAAAGTCTGGCCGTACGATGCGATTATGAAACGACACGAACCGCAAGGGAAGCGCCATTAGCGCCTCTCGGTGGTTAGCACACGCGGTCCGAAAATAGTGAAATCAACCGATACGTCCGCGATACGGCACGGTGTTTATGGTCGAATCGTTTCACTCGCGGGTAAACTCGTTTAATTATTACGCGAGGAGGAGAGGAGGTGGAGGGGGATCCAGCTGATCTCGCGTATACGTGTATAAAGGTTGGCACTTACGGTCGAGGAGTTTCTCCGGGTGGCGTGGAATAGTCGCGGCTTGAACGAAAAAGAAGTACGACGTAGCGATATGGAGAAGAGGCACTGCGACGTCGAGGAGGGGCGGGTTCTGAGATACCTCCGCGGGCCTTGCTTCTTCAGCTTCAGCGAGAGTAGCACACTACCAAGCAACGACACTGTAAACTTTTTTTTAAAACACCGTACCACGACAAAACTTCCCTGTCTCTCTTTCTCTCTCTGTCCCCCTCTCTGTTCTCTTTTATTTTCTTTCTTCGACCAGCAATCCTCGAGCGCCTTTGGTCTATCCGAGATTCCCCGCCAGCAAACTCTTCCTTCGTTCCCTCCCTTCTTCTTCTTTTTCTTCTTCTTCTTCTTCTTCTTCTTGTCCTTTGTTCTTCACGCGCCTCCACCTCCTCTTCCCACTTCTCTGTTCTTCACCGCAGCGGCAAGGACCCGCCCCGTGTCGCGCTACACAAACGTGTAGTGGATAAAGAGAGCGTAAAACTTGCTCTGCGACAACATTATCTGGCCGGTTATCGGTATCTCGCCGCAGTCGTCATTTCTTCCTTTCCTCCAGTCTCTGCCGCCCGCGTCGCAACGAAAATTGATCGCGTTGCGCGCGACGGTCCCTTTCTGGGGGACAGACCCGACGCGTTCTACCTCTCGTGCCGCTGTCACCCCCGTATTGCTGGCTTTCTCTGACTACGAACCTTCCCTCGTCTTTCCTGCCTTCCTGCCGTTCTTCTTGCCCTTAACTTTCCTCGCCGTCCGGGTCCTTTCCACCACTTCCTTTGTCTCTCGTTTCCCCCTGGCACATAGGCGCGCGCGCGCGCGTTCTCTAACGCTCCGGTTCCCCTCTGTCTTCGCCCCCTACCCTTCTCTTACTTCTCTCCCTCTTCGCTGCCCCGTTCGTTATGTTTCTCTCACTGTCTCCCACCTAGCACTTTCTCACTCTTTCTCACCCCCCTTTGCCCTCTCACTCGGTCGTCACTAGCACTCTACCTCGTCTCTCGACGTTTTCTTGTACGCGCTGCCTCCTTTACTCGTGTCCAAACTACTCTCCTCGCCGCGCGATTTCGGTCACTTCGTTCACTGAGTCTGAGTCCACTGTTCTGCGACCACTGTGCGTGTCCTGGCGCACTTTTTGCTGCCGGAAAAGGTACTCTCGAGGACTGTCGCGATCAGACAAACCCGACGCGGGCGTTATTGCACCGCCACGCGCCAATCTCGCGCAGCGGACTCAACTGGAACTAGTTTCGAGGCGCCCCACTATAACCCGCACCGTTCGCAACCCTCTACGCGAATCGCCCCCTGTCTGACCACCCACAGGAGTCGACTACTGCGCGCGAGAGACTGTCGCAACTACAAATCCGTACTCGCCCAATCACGATCGCGGTACAGTAGTTCCTCGCTTAAAGATCGAAAATCGGGATCGTCGGCTTCCCTCAACCGGCCCTATTCTACCCTAAATCGTCCATTCTAATTATTTCCAACTTTTTTCAACTACCTTTCTACTTGAACAATTCGCACAATTCGCAAATTTGGTGGGCCTCATGGATAGTAAAATCGATTTAATATCGTCTTCGCGAAAGTGACAGTATCTAAGAATCGGTAAGTGAACTTCGAAGTGTGGGCATTTCTTCAATTTTGTTCTTCATTTTGTATGCGAAAGACTGAAATCATAAAAATCGTAACTTTTTTAACTATGTTCTAAAACGTGCAATTTTTACATATATATATATACATACTCCCCTAACCAAGGGTGAGCAGAGAATTTCTTTCTGGCAGCTGAACTCAAACGGGTCGCTCGAAGAGGAATGAATGGGACGTAAAATCGTGTCTCGAATTCAGGGTCCGTGGCGGTGTTAACGCGTTGACAGACACGCCAATTTTCCCCTGTCTTATACTCGACCATTTCTCATATTATAACGTGACAAATACAAGTATCAAAATTCATTTATTTTATGTTAATTTGAGGCGCCGGTCACCAGTGACCACCGTGCCAACGTGTGAGGGGCCCGCAAGTATTTCACTCTACTTCTGTGAAAAGCAATGAGATAAATTTTTTATACCAACAAGATTCTTTTTTAATCCTAGATATTTCAAAAACTTTAAAATCCACTAATTTGGTAAACAACATAAAAAATATGAAACCGAGTAAAAAGTAAATACATTTATACTGTAGAAGGACCCCAATAGTTTTCCTTCGTCGAGGAGAGGGGGGTTCTTCATGCATGTTTGGCATCGTTTTGAAGCTCACAGAGCGGGTTCTTAATTCCACAGATGCCGTGTTCGCTCAAGCTAAAGAAACATAAACAGTGGAGGGAATGATTCAGTTTCTTTAACACCGTGTTAAAATTCTATCTTTCGACCGAAGAATCACGGTACGCGTACCTCGACATTGGATCAAATTCGTTCCCCGATTTTTTACCAGTTTTTCTCGATCGTACTCGTGCACCGATAATCCGTTTTATGAACAACTCGCGGAAAATGTATTCTGCTTCGTCATTCGGTTCAATCATAAATGGTACGAGGTCGATATCGCGGTTAGGATTCGTAAATTCGCACGCCCCAGACTTCCGTGCCACGAACGGATCAATGAAAATGTACTCCTCCACTGACAGCACCTCGCCCGCCACCCCCGTGATAGCGAGAAACACGGTACCACACCGCGCCATCCTTACTATCTGTACCTGAAAACATTCGCCTGTCGTTTCGGGACGACCGACACTTTCTACGAGCTCGCACCGTGCAGATTTCTTTTCGAGGAACTACCCGGACAACGATTGTGCTGCGATCTTACGTCGTCCCGCTACCATCGCCATTGTAACGGCGCGCAACTTTCTACCCTTCGGTGGAAATAAGTTTGACGAGATTTTTTTTTTATTATTTATTTTATTCATTCGTCACGTCGTCTCTCGCTCGAACGAGGGATTTAAAATCCGAAATGACAAAAGACGCCACGCAATTTGTCATTTTTAATTTATTAATGAACCGTGTATAAATTTGTACAGAATAGTCTTTATGCGTTGCATTAATATTTACTTCAAGTCAGTATGCGAACCGACTTGAAAATTTGTGTAAAAAATATAGTGCTATATATAAATATAGGAAAATCTCTTTGTATAGTTTAATGGTGGTATCGTAAATGCAACTAAATGTGCTCGTATGCCTAGCAAACACCCAATAGCCACAATTTTTTATAGAAACTACAAGCTCTCTCATTGACTTAAATAAGTATTGCTGCTTCTATTGGGTAACTTTCGAATACACATGTATAAACCAGTTGCTACTAGAATGAGCAGTGGAAGGCCAAGACCGATTGAAATAATCATAATCACCAAATAAGAGAATTTTTCATTGGGTGGTGTACCATAACCAACTAAAAATGTCCTGAAAAATATATCAACGTTACTTGATTTGTTCTACCATGCCATAAAATGAATAGAATCTTAATTAAACCTCAAATTACCATGTAGAATAGTAAGTTTTCTTATAAAAACCATCCCCTTTTGTTCCTAACGATACAATGATTCTTTGCATAAGCAGATCGTTAACCTTATCTCCGTAATAACAATATAACATAGAATTCTGAATAGCAACTGTATGATTAGCTACTTTCCATGGTGGATACTGCATTGTTTCTGTAGAATTTGTTACACTACGCGATACAGAGGTATAAGAGACTGGTATCCACTGTAAATAAGCCCCTTCTGTCAGGAAATCATTCATACTCCTATAAGGTGGAGTTCTAACTTCAACAACCTAAAATCAAAAATAATTTCATAACATCAGTTAGTTTTAATTTATTTTCCCTTGCCAATAACAGCGATTATATAAATATTACCTCAAATATACCAGGAGTATGTTCATCGTCTAAACTTTTTTTGGGGTTAACAAACATAGGTATATCAGGATTTCCCTCGCCTACTACAAGTAACTCAATAGCAAATCTACTGTTGGGAAAGCTTTTATTGGTTTGTAGATTATCAAGAATAATATCAACCTGAGTGGAGTTTTCTGAATGCAGCATATGAGGCATTACTTCTGAATGATCGAGGGAACAAAATCCTTTCAACTGAAAAATAAATTTAAATTAGAGTACATTGAAATTAAATACATCACTAATTTAAAAAGTATAATACTTTACCGAAAGCTTCAAAGTTCCATGTCTGCTGATATTTGTACTGGCATCATTGTAATAGCTGCCTTCCATATCCAAGGTAATAAATTCGTTGTTAGTTAATAAAGCCTTACGCTCCCATTGGAAAAACATTGGGTGCAAAATGTTTGTATTTACAATATTAGTAATATCTACCAATCCTGTGTCATTTAAATCATTAAATTCTATAATCTAGAAATTAAATCAATTTTTATTAATTTATAGAATATAGTCTATTAACACAAAGAAAGATTTAATATACAGTGATTGTAGACATCAACTTACCTTATTTATAACTATTCCAAAAGTATAAATAGGTTTCTCTGAAAACAGTATCGAATTCTTCTTCTTTTCAATAAAATCTTCCCAACTAATATTGATGGAAGCTGAAGGTGGAGTAAGTGCTAATAATATGGACGGATTACCACCAAAATCCCATAAATAATGCAAAGTGTCATTAGGACCGTCTGCTCTTAGATAAAGTGTTGTCAAATTTCTCTCTTTACATAATGTGCCACAGTCAGGATTCAGCCATGATCGTAACTAGTGCCAGGCAAATTCTTTTATATAAAAAAATGTAACATATTGTTTACAACTCTATTTAAATAATGTATAATTATAATTTTATATTATAATTTTATATTATAATTATCATACTATAAAAAATTCGTACGAAAATTGTCGAACGACACTATTTATAACACTTGTATTATATATTCGATCATAAATTAAATTTATTTGACGAATTATGAAAACATACTACTCTAATAACGATATTTCAATATTTTCACGTAATAAACATTAACTGATAATTTCATGATTAATTTGCTCTTAAATATCGGTACATTATATCATTACGAATTGCTCGATTAGAGTTCTCACGGTAATTAATAAATGGGTTATGGGCTCTCGTGTTCCTCATTAAGCAACTGCTCCCAATCGCTATCAAATTGTTATTCAACAATTAATTAAAGATACGACTGTACAATGTAAACAGACTCTGAACTCGAGACAACAATTGAACGATGAATCATATACGCGCGATCTTTGTTTTTCATTTGAAAGAACATTGATCCATATAACTGAACTAATAAAAGTGCATTGTTGCGGTTACGGTCGTAATAATAACGTATTATCACTTACAGATCTTTGCGTGCAATATCCAAAATCTATTAATGTAGTAAAGAATAACAATAACATAAAAATATTATTCATTTTGTGTGACGTTATGACACATCAAAACATTCACTGACAACACACCGTAACTTGTGACGCTACTGATTTGCTACTGATTCGAGGCAGACGCGCTTGACGCGGCCGTTGGTATCAAAATGGATCTACGTTATGGCGACCGTGGCGACGCCTCTTGAATTCGTTCACAGAAAATTATAACAGGATTTTTACAAATCGTTCGGTAACACCAATTTTCTTAAATCTGTCCAAATCAAAACGTAGTTAATATTATAGTACTAATTGAAAGTATATCGGACTACTAGATACATTTTACTAGTATCCTTCATTACTAAACAAATTACTCTTCTATTGTCTGATCTTGTTTTTATAGTTATTTGGTGTAACATGAGCCTAACTGATTCCACGAAACTTATACCTCTAATAAAGAAGTATTACTGTTTGCAAACTTCTACTTGATTTTTTGAAAACAGTTTCCTGCGAAGACAAAACACAAAGAGGCACAATTACTCACACTATGACTCAGGACCAAGCAAGTAGGACCCACGTCTGTATGAAATGTTTTTCATTTCTAAATTATATCCACTAATGATAAAACACACTGTAAAAACACGTATCTGTACGAATATGTTTCAATGATTTATATACTTACAAAAGTGAATATGTTAAAATTATATCGTAGGATAAGGCAGAATCATGAACGTCTTTGCTTGCACATAGATGACGCTACATTCAAAATCTATGAAACAAAGAATTGATATACTTACTGAAGTACTTACACGTTTGCAACGCACCTAAATTTTAGTATTAATGTTTCCAGTGAAATGTAGGCTGTTGTTAACTCAGTTCGCATAATTCGTGCCTTTATATTACAGCTGTATTTCGCGTCGAGGGAAGGAAACTCGTACCCCATTGGCCATTGAATTCCGCCAACGGTGGTGGAGTTACCAATCCTCGGCACAGTATTTCATTTTGAGAATTTATTGTTAATAATGATATAAATATTACAACGATTATCAACGGTAAAAGAAAATAAATGTTGTAATATTGGTTATACGTACTTCTAAATGAAATTCACAATGTGCAAAGTAATATTGGCTTGCGTATCGTGCTAAAAAAAAAATATTTTATTCAATTCGCGTTATTGTAAAACCGATCACTGTGTTACATATTATTTGTAATAATTATTGTAAACTGTTTGGCATAGGCGGACGTTAATTGTATTCTTTCGAGACACCGTATACAGCCGGGGAAAGAGAACGTGTAAAAAGAGCATTAACTTGCAGACTACGACCTTGACCGAAGCAGTGTCCGCGCCTGAAGCACATACATGCATACGTGTGTACAAATGTTCGTACATACATCTAGCGTTTCAAGGAACTTCGTTTCTTCGGGTTCTCACTCGGTTCCTCCATCCGTACGTTTTTGCACATCGAACATTCATAAGTTCGATCAAAAATTTCACAACGAGATACATCGAATAACAAACATAACATTATTTCTTTTACTTTTTTAGCGAACTAGTGAAATGCAACTTTTCTGACAAGTTTCCTCGCATTGCCCGAAGCAGTCGCGGCCAATGCTCTTTGACGATTTAACGATACTCTGCTGAAGGTCGTCGGAGGAAGTCGGGATCCGCGGGAGAATACAACAGTCCTACGTACCGGGTAACTCAGTCTAAAACTGGTTTTATCTCCTCCGTATTCTTTTACGCGTTCTGCTCTCTCGAAAAGGCAAGGATAGGAATTACAAATAAAGTAATGAAAATACTGATTCTCGAGCTTCGTACACAAAGAAAACAAAACCACGATTCAATTTTTTCGTCTCGATAATCGTTGAGTCACGAAATCGAAAAATGAAACTATACTAGAAAGATCGCCTTGAATCGAATTTAGATATAGTGATCAGTAGTTTTGGAAAAGATAATAAAATAATAATTGAATTCCGCAAATAAGCGGACGTCTCTCAAATCATGAATACCATTAATAGGCAATCTTTTGTAGCTACAGTAAATGAGCAATTTATGCTAGCTTGTTATACAAATTTTGCTAACGAATCTCCACCATTTTTCAGTAACTTTCATTGCGTGATAGTTTCAGGGGAAAAGGAAGCTTACCTTCTATCGGATCGCCACTATCGTTACTTCAGTATCCTCGCTGTATTCGCCTGGAAAACTTTTTAAAAGCACACCACCGATCTGTTCGCCGGCACGGTCCGTGGTTCTCTTCCGTGGGTCGCCGCGTGTTACGATACGACAGGGAAGCTCTGGTGGATAGGATCACGACAACTACGGAACGGGTCGTGATCGAATTCGAAAGCGAGCGTAATAATTGCAGCCGACGCGACGGCTGAAGGACCTCCGACTGCACGTATAACTTGCGCTCCGCCGGTTGCCGGCTGCCCGGCCGGACGAAAAACAGACAAAGAGTCTTCTTGCGCCGTGAGTAACGCCGGGTCTCTCGGCCAATCAGAAGAATCGGCACGATCGCGGCCCGCGTTCAATCGGCCGGTCGCCGAGAAGCTTGATGACGCTGCCGTCGTCGCGTTTATCGAGCCGGTTAGCCCGAAACCAACGATTTTATTCGGAACAGATCAGTTTGCTTCTCAAATTATGCGACTGGGAAATTCCCAATTTCGAACGATCATCGACACGTTTTTACGCTATTTTCTCAAAACCACATTCTTCCAAATAGTTGCTACGATGTCTCAAGTTCTAGTTGTGGAGATCTTCGACCCACGTGACTTCATCTGGATATTGGATTAAAAGAAACAGAGAACGAACGTAAATTAAAATTTGTCGAACTCTGGGTATGGTGTTACTACTATACTTCGAAAGTTTGGAACGTGCGAACAAGCGCTGGGAAACGTATCTTGTTCATGATCCCTCGGCGACCGGACAGTTCTAAACCATCGGACTGCCATCTATGGTTACTAGTCGCATCCAGTTCGTCCGGTCCTATATTCTGTCCTGCAGAAATCACAAGCAATTACAGACGTGATCAAGTAACGCGGTCGCGGCAAGAAAAGTCACATGTTTTCTATAAAATACTTCGTTATTTCATAATCGTTCCTACGTAGTAATAATCATATTATAATCATGGCTACCTTTAACCTTGATTAAATTCGATCATACTTCTTATTAGTCCTATTATTTCCTAGCACTTCTTTCAAAATAGTAGTATTCCTATAGAATGTTGGTCCACTGTAAGTACGCGAATCCCGACTGTTCGCGGCAGTATGTACATCGTTCCGACCAACGTTGCCATTAAAATTGTGTACAAGCATCAGAAACATAGGCCATATTGAAATAATGGATCGCGTCCTTCGCTTATACCATATTTTTCGACTGGTTGCCTGTACCTATAACCATGTAACAGACGAGTATGCATCGCAGTAGTACCAGCCGATGGTTACACGGCGACTACGTCGCAAGAAAAAACAACGAAAGAAAAGAAGAGAAGCGCGCGCAAGGAGGAACCGGTTTCATGGGGGTTTCAGCCTCCACAAAATGATCCGTCTGGCTTGCCGGTTCGACTCGACTTGCCTCCACCGTTCGCCTCCCGCGAAAGCGCTTGCTCTGGCGCACCACCTACCAACCTACCTACCTACCTACCAACCTACCTACCTACCTACCTACCTACCTACCTACCTATCTACCTGTTTCTTTCCTGCGTCTCTACTCAGACCTGCTGACCAACGTACCTGATTCGACTTCGAGGGTTCTAACTCGCGGCATTCCTCGCTGAAAGGCAGTTGGACATTCCTCTCGGGGTAAATTGATGTTAAGAGGCCTTCATCATCATCCGTGACTTAACACGCGCATCTTTGAAATTAGTATATTAGCCCTGCCTGCGTTTCGCGGGTTCCGATAAAGATACCTTGTCTTCTCAACTTCTTTACATCAAAGCCTTAGACACTTTTGGTTGAAAAGCTTCTGCATCTGCTGCGTGATATCTTTGAGGTATTGAAACCGAATTATTTACAACCGGCTGAACGCAATTACTGTACTTTTCAATGGTCATTCTCTTCGGAAGCGATGGAAATATATCTGCTGGCCTTGAACATTACAAAAGAAAAGAGGCATGAAGACGAAATACGCTCCGTACTACGATGTACGAAGGAGACGCGAAGAGAAAACTGGTTTCAGTTGGCGGAGAATGTTCTGGTAACATTTGCATTTAGTGTGCGTGCATAGTTTACAAGTCCATCACTGTTTTACGAGTCGTTGCTTTTATAATGCATCGCGAGAAACTATCAAATCGACATATTGTAACTCGTCCTCGGTCCATACGATCAGTGGTACGAAGATTCCCTAAGCTATTTTACGTTAGAAATCTAGTTGAATCTTTTGTTATCGAGTTTCGCTCCAGATAACGCACGGTTATTGTGAAAATTCACTCTATTATACGTTGTACCTTGTTACGTACCGATAAGGTCGCGCATATTGTACATAGATCGCCATTATATTGCGAGATTGGTACAGTCGGCTTCAGCCCCGACACTGACCTTGGGTTCATAGCCTCCAACACTGTCTCCCCGTAGAAGTTCCTCTAACGATAGGCAGCCACGAGGCACTCTCTTCGCGCTAGCGAAAGAAAGTAAAATTATTGAGCTCTATTGAACTCTACAACCAAGAAATATCTAGGACCAATAAGAAGTCCGTTGAAGTAATATTATGCAGGGATCGAGTGTATTATTTTTAATAAACATATATGATCTAGAAAACGTGGACTAATTCGGAAACTGCGGAAAACGGGACAGATGTAACACTTAGCTAACTGATATTGATGTTTACTTTTACTACTGTCTGCTGCAAGTCTGACTACTGTAACTGCGTCAATAAAAGATAATCGTTCTGCATATACACGCAACTGCTACGGCGGATAGTCAGCGAGTTCAGTCACTGTACTGACTTCTTGAGTTATTTTTAGTCGCGCACAAAGTATCGAGTGAATTATAAACGAAACCTGAAACATATTGATTATTAATACTGCGCGCGATTTCATGCAACAGCCCCGAAATATGATATGGTATTTGATTGTATGCTTAATCGCGTATTTATACTACTTGCTCAAGGATGAATTTTAACATATTGCTACGGGAGTAAGGGTGTTTGGTAAACGTATTGTGTGCTATAACGGTAGTATATGTGTGTATATGATATTATAAAGGAAATAATTCTAAAAATGTATGTTTTACAATACTTCAAGTCACCATGAACGGATATATTCTTAAAGGACATTGAGTACCATCTAGCGTGCATTTGTGCAATTAAACAAAAACCGAAATTATCCTGATACAAATATCACCTCTAGTAATTACGATTTCAACATTGTTTTCATAGTAGAAGTATTTCAAGAATTAGAACTCTTGCAAACAACTCTGACCATAAGATTGAATGTTCCTTAAAAAAATTTTATGATCCTATCCGACTGGCCAAACTGCCTTGCAATATCTCTAATAAACTTGCCTTCTCGAGAAAGTGATACACTGCTTCCTTTACACATTTTCTACAAAGAATTGCAGAGAAATTCATAATATTTTATTGAATTTCTATGCTCCTTAACCTATTGCATTCAGTCTACTCAATACTGGGAAACAGTAGAGATACTGACAATAATATTGACCATGTGCAGTCCAATAATTTAAATCATTTGCAAAAGCATATTAGTATATTGTCTTTTTAAAAATCTATACCAAGGGGTAAAGACATAACATTCAACATAAACGACCCACTCTTGAATACAAATACTCTTCCATATAAAGACGAGTCTGCAAATAACAACAATGAATAGCATTGTTTGCCTATAGGAAAGACGCTGGTTACCAGCGCTATACAACACCAATATTATTCTTCGTACCACACAACAGGTAAGCTCTTCCGACTAATTAAAACGCTAACGGCGCGGCGGATCCAGTTCCCGAGAAAGATGCTCGTCGAGTATCGATATTGTTAATAAAATTTTTAACCGGTCAGTGAATTAACGGACGCGTATGCCGGGTGGCGCGCCGAATCGTTTCGCGGTCTCGTATTCGCACGGAACACAATTCCTGTTGGCCGATGGAAAGTTGGCCTGCGTGTTGCTCGTACCATAGGAATTTAAACGGGGATATAGGTATAAGAACACGGAGACGGGGAGTCGTTCGCGGTAGTGTGAGGCATAAACGCGCCGGCACCACACCCAGAGTGACCACCATTGCGACACGGGACAAGGGACACGGCCATGCGCGTCGCGGTGATCGTGAGTACTCAAAAGTGTTCTCTTTTTTGCAAACCCATTAAAGACCTTCGTCTCGTAGCCTTTACTCCTTCAGCCTCCATCGTAGCCTTTGCTCCTTCGTTGTGCCCCCCGACTCCTAGCTTCGCCTGTAACGCTTCGAACTGTAAAATAATTAAAAGGATGTTAATCGAGGAAACAATTTTTAACGAAGATCCCATCGAAAAGAACGGTAATCGCGAAACTTATCGAAAGTATATTACTTTGAAAGGGCGAGATATTCAATGGACCGTGGTAAAATTAAGAAAGCTAGATCGAACGTTTACTCTTATGTCGAGTACTTGATTCAAACGCTCTGTCAAAGAAGGCGACTTTAAGTAAACAACTACCCCTTATATCAGTCGCTCGCATTAGACGTGTCTATGTAATTCTTAAATTACATATTGAATAATGTTACAAATAAAAGTTAAAAATATTTAAGCTTGCAAATTGATCAGAAAAAATATCCGACATGAATAAAATGGTTGGCTTTGGTACAAGTGGTAATTTCTCCCTTAAAATATTCATTCTTAAGTTACAAGGGATATTGAATAATGTTTAAAATAAAAGTTAAAAATATTTAATCAGAAAAAATATTCGACACGAATAAAATGGTTGGCTTTGGTACAAGGGGTAGTTTCTCCCTTAAAATATTCATCAAAATCGGTATCTGACGGTTCTCGATGTTCTTATGTGAGTCAAAGAGTAGCGTTTGCACGTCCGACGAACGTGCAGCGATCCGATTAATGTACTTTCGTTGATGGTAAAATATTAAAGGAAAACGAGTACAATGCATAATCTTGAACGTTTTAAAACCGCCGCCTTATGCCTGCTGCGCATGCAACGGTCCTGTTCCGTTCTGTTTCATCTCCTGTAAAGCTAGAAATGGCACTCGCTGAGCGCGGGATTCTTTTTCTCCAGATGTACTGCATTTTTGATCTCGTAAAGTTTAATTACAAATTTCAAATAAAAAATTTGTTCTTTAATAAAAAAATAGAAATATTTCAGGATAACGTCTTTGAGGAGAGGGAGAAAAAAGGGCGGGAGAAATAGTTTACTCGGAGAGTCCAAGTTGAAAGACAAGTTGTTAGACAATATGTAAAAAGTGTATCAACTTACACATATAGAGTTTCCTTTATACTTGACATTCCTTTCGATCAGCCCCCTTGGTGTCCGCATGCATACATTTAACCAGAGATCTTTCTGTCTCGACCAGTTACGTACTTTGTAATCGCAGGACATTACGTAAGAAGCACGCACAGGCTACATATGTTCGATATCAAATTCAATATACGTTCGATCGTTACTTAACGAACAAACTACGAAACAGATATTACGCATAGCCCTTACTTGGCCATATTCTACTTAAACTACTTTCTGGAGAATTTCGATCTAGTAGAGAGCTGGGCAAATTCGCATCAACTTTAATTAATTTGAGTAATCTAAACAAGAAACATTCTAATTACGCTTTTGTTTTCATGCCCTGGACGCGATTCGATGTTGACAATGATCCCTATACGTAGGAATCTGAACTAAATAATATACGCGGGAAACTGTTTAGGTTATTCGCCCTCTGGCGGTATTTAGTAGAAAACTCAACGTTTTTTAAAGATATTATCCAAGGTCGGTGGTTCGAAATCTACCTGATATTTGTTAGTTATCGATTAATTATTGATATTGTTCTATGCTTGTTATGGCCAAGCACGAACGCCGGTATTCAACAGCGACCGTTGCAACCAATCAGATAAAAAAGACAATGCTCTGTGCACGATCGTTCAAAGTGGCAATTTCTAAAGAAAATTATTCGCACAGCTGTCGCGTACGCGTATGCACAGCATGTGCTCCTCGTCGAAACGTTTCTTGCGAATAAAGAAGAAAACTAATAGTTTGAGAAAGAAAGTGAAAGTACGAGGGAGTGAATGAACGAGAGCGAGCAAGTAAGTGAAAGAGAACGAAAAAAAGAGGGAGGGAAGGAGAAATTATAGTAAGATCTTGAACGCATTCTTAACGATGTTCGGACACGAAGGACGAAAATTGGTACACTCGCGCCGGACAAACGAGCCCGGGTGAAAGTGCCCCGTAAGAAAGTCGAATAGAGTTTTCGTCGTATTCCCTATAAATATCTACGCGTGCTTTGACTTGGAACGAAATGCAAGCCCGTAAGAAACAAATCCGCGTCCGTTCGATTCGCCTGTCTCTCCCCTCTCTGTAAGACTGGTGCATTCCTGTGGACTACAGGAACTCTACAGGAGGATATGGCGATCGACTTCGTCGCCACGATTGCTACAATACAGGATGTTTTAAAACTATAGGGACCACGTTTAACCGGTTATTGGAACTCGTAAAATGTAGCAAACAAGTTTTAAGAACCATAATGATTTTTTACACTACAAATTGATCATTTATAAACATGCAGCATTTTAACCTACAAATCAAGTAACAGTTGAACACAGTTATAACGAGCACCAATAACTATTTTTCTTGGATTTTCAATAATTTGGTAAAAAATCATACAATACTGCTACACTCGATTAAATATTACCATAATATTAAAGTATGGAACAATAGAAATCATGCATTCTAACCTCGTGAAAGTAGCGACTTTCGAATAGCTCGATAAATTCAAGAACATTGTTTCTGTTCGAATATGTCGAATTTTACTTTTTTATATGAAATATTATCAAAACATTGCCGTAACTTGTATCTACAGAGTACAACTAGAAACACACATGTTTCTTACAACTAAATTCACCTGTATCATTGACTTACAAGTCTACAAATGTAAATATGTTTGCTATAACAAACTGTCGACCAGTTACATCAGTAATTCTGGTTTTGGAACACCTTCTACATCCTTATACTTCCCTGTCCCTTTCATTGCACCTGCATGGGACGTTGCAACATTTAGACTAACCTCAATAAGAGCTTACATTGGAACCTCGCCGTCTGTTGTCATTACATACAGCATGTTTCAGATTGAATAGACCAATCGACAGGGTAGTATTTCCGCGTCAAAAAATAAATCGGAAACACGAAATAATATTTTTGCGTTTCATGATTTCTTTTTCGAAAAAAAAACCAATTTAAATCTCCTTGGGGTACGCGTGGGAGTTTGAAATTCAGGTTAACGGATTCCACTATAGATGTCGCAGTGAACTTGTTAGTCGGATGCGCACGCAGTCCCGCGTACATCGAATATACAGCAAGAGAAATTGTTTCATGGCATTATTGCTTGTCAAATACGACGGTTCGACTCTCGTCGTGTATATTTAATTTCTGTTGGATAATTCGATATAATTCTTGCACGGCAAGTTGTTACGTTAATGGCAATAACGTGACCGGGATTTCATATTCTTATATAACGAAAATTGTAGAAGGAAAGGGACACACGGGATCAACCGTAACGTTTAAACGCGAACTCGCCGGCTAACGAATTGCCGTTCATTAGCTCGATCGTAATTTGATTGTTCGCATTTCTTGTTTGTTGTTCGTTCAATCTCGTTGCGACAGGTTCTGCGCGAGAGACTGGTTCTCCCATATCGAGGCGATACCGGTTCAACATTCTGGTTCACAGATTTCTGAGTAAACGTATGCACGTATAGAGATAATTACTTTGCGCCTCGGACACGTTGTACGTTGCGTGAGCGTGTAAATTTCGACGAATACCGGAGAAAAGAGAAAGCGATTCGATTTCGATACCTCGCGACGCGTAGTATCCGCGTTACGCTGCACGCGTCGCTACGGTTAAACTTGCATACGTGCCGTAACGGACATTTGACATTTAAGCAATAACAACAGGAAAGACAGAACTCGTTAATAACGAAAGAAAAGATACAGTCTGACCTCGATCGATCGAAGCTGAAAGGAAACGAATAATTAGCATTCGCAAGCAGAATCGAATCAAGATATTCGATAAGAAATGCCATGGCAAGATGAGCAGTCTCATCTTTAAAAATATCTATGACAATATTTCTAATAAACTTTAGGAATATCTTACTTATTATAAACTATTTTGTTGCAGTTGTTAGCGTGCATCACTGCGTTGGTTTCTGCCCAGTATCAGCCAGACGTGGACGGTGGTTTGCCACCAAAAGGACTGCCAATCCCTCTGCGATCGGCACGTTTCCAGAGACTACCATCCGCTCGACCAGTGGTCCAAACGCAGGCTATACTTACGAATCAACGAATACGTCGTCCAATTTCGTTCAGGTGCATACTATGAACTGAAATTCACAATTTATTGAATACAATGACGAACTAACCCACAAACATAACAGTTTGGATCATGCCTCCTTATTACCTCAAATAACGATACCAATACGGTAGGGTAAAAACACGTAGTGAACAACTTTGAGGTTATGTGTTTAATACCATATAAAAATGCAATAAAGTCTCGAACCCAGATATACCTTGATAAGCATAATGACACGGGAATTGTAACTATCTTTCACGTTTCCACTCATGAATTCTCTTCTATAATGATACCAATACGATAGGGTAAACACATCAGTAGTGAACAACTTTGAGGTTATGTGTTCAATACTATACAGGATGTTCGGCCACCCTGGGGAAAAATTTAATGGGAGATTCTAGAGGCCAAAATAAGACGAAAATCAAGAATACCAATTTGTTGATGAAGGCTTCGTTAAAAAGTTATTAACGTTTAAAGTTCCGCCCGTACTAAATTTTTTTCTCGAAAACGCGTAGGAATTCGGAGGTATGTCTATTCACCAAAAATGATTGTAATTGACCCCCGTAACCGAAAATAATTTTTCCAGAACGATTTGAAATTTTTTAATTTAATTGTTAATAACTTTTTAACGAAACCTCAAACGAAAAATTGATATTCTTGATTTTCGTCTTATTTTGGCCTCTACAATCTTCCATTAAAATTTTTCCCAGGGGTGGCCGAGCACCCTGTATAAAAATGCAATAAAGTCTCGAACCTTGATATACCTTGATAAGTATGTATAATGACCCGGGAATTGTAATTACTTGTCACGTTTTCATTCATGAATTCTCTTCTATGAAATTAGACCAAAAGGTGCCGAGGATGGACCTGGAACAGGGCCAGGATCATTTTCACCAGTCAAACCGTTACGACCGAACTTATCCACGGGACCAGGGTCACTGGCTCACCAGGTTAAACCCGTGAACGAGGAACCGGAAGAAGACGTACGGAACCGTGAACCATCGCGAAATCACGCCAATCAAGACGACGATGAGAATCTGAGCGATGAACAATTAGACAGTCAAGAAGATAGCGAAGAAAACATACCACGGCCCATATCGAATCCTAGTAGCGGGGGCCCGATATCGAGAAGTCCGAATCTAGGAGGTCCAGGTCAACCGATTCCGGTACAATACCGTCCTCTGCAACAAATACCGCTGCCAACTGGCAGAGGAGTAGCACAAACGACACAGCCTCCACCGCCAGTACAGTACCGTCAGCCGCCAAAACCGAACAAACCGAGAAAACCAATTGAGGAGCCCTTCAGACAACCAGCAAAGGCACCTCCAAAATCCGTGAAATCGCCATACGAAGGTCGTGGAAAGAAACCGGTTGCTCAGGTTAGTTTGAAACACAAAAGATATATGTAAGTAGATAATGTTATAAAAATGTGAATAGCGAGAGTTTAAATGTACAACTTTCTAACAGATCATCAGGCGATATCGTAATGATAATCCGGACGGTTCGATCACCTGGGGTTTCGAGAACGACGATGGATCCTACAAAGAAGAAATAATTGGTATCGATTGCTTAACGAGAGGCAAATACGGATATATCGATCCAGACGGTATTCGTCGAGAATACACTTACGAAACCGGGATCAGATGCGACGAAGAACAACGAGAAGAAGATGAAGAGAATGGTTTTGTAGATTATCAAGAAAACAAATTGGTTCTTCCCGACGGCAAGACTATAGATCTCTCTAACATGGGTAAAAAACAATCTCGCAGGCCTCGTTTTTAGTAACCGATAATTAAGAAAAATTCTACGTTAAATCTTTTTCGTTAATTAATACCCACCTATGATACAAACTTGACAAAGAATGAAAAGGAGACATATTCCATCTTTTAACGTTACAAATTTAAAAAAAAATCATGTAACAGAAAATAATTATATATGTTATTAATAGCCAGAAGAGCTTATAGATGTTCACTATTTTGTTTTTTCAAGAAGTTTGGAGAGAAAAATGTTACATGGAGGAAATAACATTTAATGATTTATTTCGTTAAGTAGCGATCTAGTAATGCGAGCTCTATTATGACGATTGTCGTTATGTGCGTATTCGCAATGTTCAAAATTTTTAACTAGATTATTTAGAATGTATATCTATATCGTGTACATATGATTGTAGGTACCTGTACGGAGTTGATCGAATAAAAATAACAAAATATACGTATTATGTTGAGTAATATCATGATCATCGATAAATTATAACAACTTATCCTTATCACTAGTTTCTAATACTACGTACTATAGTACATACAACAACGACATAATTTAAACAACTTAAATGTAACAAAAACACACCGGAAAACAATAATTTGATTTATTGTATTACATATTTTATGATTCTCTACTTCCCTATTCACTGTGAATGATCACAAATAAGTCCGTCCAGATGCCGCTATAACCAGAAATGCAACGCAAAGCAATCGAGTTGCCATTGTATAAAATTAAATACAAAATGAGTACAAATATCAAGTGTTAACGGTTTATAGCATGAACAAAATACTGATTAAATATATATTTCTTATAGATGTATACAAATATCTGTATGTATATATATACTACCTGTCCAAAAATATTATTCCAATATCAACAAATGTTAAAAGTTGATAACATAATGTACAACTACATTAATTAACATATATATTTATGTATACATACATACATATTGATTCAAAAATATATGTATATACATATATATATATATATATCGTCTCTTTATGGTACAACGGTATGATATTATCGAATGTCGTGCTCGAGTGAGATTATAGATATGTACGTACACGAATGCTTACGTACATCGACAAAAATAGCAAAATTAATCATTATGAATTTGACAAATCCGTTGTGCCCTGTTCTTATGTATAGTATGTTACGTTCGAACGGTATAACCAGAAACGTACGTAACATTTAACGAAATAAATCCAATGCATAAAAGCAACAATATGCTTCAAACGTGGCCCAACCAACTATTTTCTATTCGGATTAAAGTTAATACGCTGGACTCGTCACTGTGGAGATTTGTTTAGGCGTTTGCTGGCCCTGCGCTAAGGTACCTCTCTTCACTGCTTGAAACTTCAGCCATGCGTCGTAGCCATAAACTACCATAGCACAGAATCCAAAGAACTACAAAAAAAAATGTATCCTAGTACAAAATAATTGCTAATTATTATATCATATGAAACTTACAGCAGCTGCTCCAAAAGATTCTACGTATTTAGCATAGTCTGCCGCGAGCGCAGCGGCCAGCAAATAGAAGGCTGTCCAAATTGTGCAAAATATGAACTCCTGCAAAGAAGAATACGAATAGCTTCCTAACACGTAAATCTAATTTGCATTATACAGTTACACACTCAACTAGAATGGCGTTCAACAGAACCTACGAACCGTACAAGCCACCCAACAAATTAATTTTTAATGTTAAAATGAAAAATAATTCTAAATCAAGAAGCAATTTTCTAATTTTATCTACATATGCCATTCCGGTACATTAGTTGCTTAAAAATGAAATATGAAACTTGTAACACTTATATAATATCAAGAGAGAGTTGATCTAATATGTATCATGTTCAAGGAAGTGAATCAACGAGAGTGTTAAGTAAAAGAGAATGTTGGCTCGCGAGAATTCCGAAATTTTTGGGAAACCGACTCGAACCGATCGGATCCTGATTTTCGGATTCTGGCACACCTTTAGTACCGAACGATTATATCCAAACGTCTATGTACTTCTTAAACTTTAAGAGAACACAAACCAATCGAGCCTAACTCTTTTCCAATTTCATTTAGAAACGATTCAAGTTTTCCCTCATTACTATGGCCGATTATTCGCTCGATAATCACACATGCTATTAGAAATGCTACAAGACCATTAACATCAAGGCTACTTCTGGATACGAATCTTTCCTCAACAAAAAGTGTTTGCAAACATCTTATGGTGGATTACACATCAACTATCAAGGTAAGGTACAATGACTAATACTATTGCGCAATAACATGGAAAAGGTTACGAAAACGTACGATTCAAGACATCACACTGTTACTCAGCTCGTACAAAATTCATTTGCCTCGTGTGAATAATTTTGTTAACATATAATAATGTTAAATGAAATTCTTTTTATATTAAATTTTTTCGATAAAATTATTACGTAAATAAAAATATCGAATTAAATATGTCACAACGAATAAGTGTAAATTTACCAGTTCTAAGTGAACAAATTTTAATCCGCTAACTAACAACGAAAATAATAAGAGTGGTCACGTTATGCGGTTCGCTGTGTATAGCATATTAGAACACAGAGTGTTCCCATTACCACAAGATCGATATTTTACCTTCACGTAAAAGTAACTTGTATTCGACGTCTTCAATAAGTATTCATTCAAGGGCTACAATCCTATTCTCAAACTAATTAAATGTATCATACATGTAAAATAATAACTTTTCTTTCGACTCACAACTTTCAACCAAGGAATTTTTGAAAACTTTTCGACGATATGGAACAGGTAAAAAACAAGTAGTATTCCTGTGAACCAAAAACCAGCCATGGCTACCGTATTGAACCATGCTCCGCGACTCGAGTTGCTTTGGCTCGATACTGTGATGCATATGAATCCCAGCAGATTAAAAGCCTGGAACAATACGAAGAGTGGTTAATATTACCTACGAAAAGTGTAACATTTTAATATTAAAGAAAGCCAATAATATCATACTGCAACACATTCCGATACAGGGTGTTCCCCTGGGGGAAATTTTAATGAGAGATTCTAGAGGCCAAAATAAAACGAAAATCAAGGATACTAATTTGTTGATTGAGGCTTCGTTAAAAAGTTATAGACAAATTTCCGGTCACACAGTATATTTTCGGTAAAGAATTTTTTTCTCGAAAACGCGTAGGAATTCGGAGGTATGTTCATTCACCAAAAATGATTGTAATTGACTCTTGCAACCAAAAATACTTTTTTCAGAACGATGTAAAATTTTTCAATTTTGCCGAAAAATTTTACATCTTCTCGAATTTTTTTCTCGAAAGTGGGTAGGATTTAGGGGATATATCAATTTATAAAAAATGATGGTAATTGACCCCAGTAATTAAAAATGATTTTTCCAAAACGATTTGAAAAAATTGTTTTTCACTGAATTTTAGCACCTATCGTCAGGTCTGGGTTAGGTCTGTCGATTTTTCTTAAAAAATCGTATTTAATTTTTAGTCATTTTGCTTGGCACCCTACACAAAAGTTGTCTAATACTTTTTTGTAGGCACCCATGAGTTCTACTTCAGAAAAAAGTTTCATTGAAATGTGTTCACTATTGTAGGAGTTATGGCCGTTTGAAAATTGAACCATTTTTATGGGGTTTTTCTCACTTTATGAGGTCAAGGAACAACATTATTAGTATTTTTAGAGTTTGTACATATACACCATTAAAATAAGCGTCCTTTGTTTTTGAAAAATTAAAATCGTCCAATCCATTCAGAAGTTATGATGTTTTAAAGATTCGCATGAAAATTCAGGCAGATACTTCTGGCCAGAAATTATATTTTCGGTAAGGAATTTTTTTCTCGAAACTGAGTAGGATTTCGGGGGTATGTCTGTTGACAAAAAATGTTTGCAATTGACCCCTGCAACTAAAAATATTTTTTTCAAAACGATTTGAAATTTTTTACATTTACCGAAAAATTTCAACACCTACTCGAATTTTTTTCTCGAAACTGAGTAGGATTTCAGGGGTATGTCTATCGACCAAGAATGATTGTAATTGACCGTGGCAATCGAAAATAATTTTTCCGTATATGATTCGAAATTCTTTAATAACTTTTTAACGAAGCCTCAATCAACAAATTGATATTCTTGATTTTCATCTTATTTTGGCCTCTAGACTCTCACCAGAGGTGGCCGAACACCCTGTATGTTTAGGACGATCCATCAGAAATAGAACATCTAATTATCTCCATTATCAAACACTGTTTGAAATATAAAAACGTTATAGTGATGGACAACATCTCCAATGACCTTGAGCGGCCAATTTACTTCGTTCCAACTCTATATTCACCGTAAACTCCTTTACTATTTTTCGTATTTATTTTTATTATTATAAATACCCACTTTAATTGTTCAAATCAGTTTTAAACGATGAGTAAAAAGTAATTTTTATCGTGGTGGCACTCCTCTCAACCAAATATCTCCATTCTCACACTTCTTTTCGACTTGCACCGCGTGTCAGCGTTGTTCACCGATGGAGCCCCTTGCGCGGGGACCCTTTCATCCCCCCTACATGTCGCATTGTGTTTGAATAGGACACGCATACACAACGCGACGTAAACCGAAGTTCCTGTACGACAGTGTTTCTCAAATTTCATCTCCCAACGAAACAATCTCAGCTGAAAAATAAGGGGATCTTCTTAAAATTTACCTAAAACTATACAACACAACAAAAACTGATGAATTTTTAAAAAATATACATATTTTTCTTCTAAGTGCTCTAGTTTGAGAAACACTGCTTTACGAGATAGAATAGAGATAGAGTGAGCGGAACTCCCACAAGTTTCGAAGTTTTATTCCTCAAAAAAAAGTATAACTTTTGAAAATAATTACATTCGCACCTCTCATTCGTACTACGCAATTATTTCAATCTTCCCCTGAATACACGTTCTCGCATCTTTAACGGCGAAACCAATAAGGTGTTCCGTTTCCGACAGACCATTCTGTGTAACGAGCGTGATAACTAAGCGATAATAAACGCTAACGTTCACTTTCATTAATATTACTGGCTACGCGCATGCATGGTGTTTTTACTTTCTGACCTACGAGGAAGGAAAATTATTTTAAATCGCAAAACATTGAATCCTTATTTTCAATACTTTCCGTTACCTTCTCTTTGTACATCGTAAAAATTTTAATTAATATATTTATGAAAGTGTCGCTTTATTTAAATAATTATTTTTTTCGATTAAAATGATATTCAATTACAAAACATTGAATCCTGATTTTCAATACTTTCCGTTACCTTCTCTTTGTACATCATAAAAATGTTAATTAATATATTTATGAAAGTATCGCTTTATTTACATAATTATTTTCTCCGATTAAAATGATATTCAAGCGACGTGGCGGAATGTATCGTGCAGTGTTCATTTTCTGTTAATCTTAGTAACTAATCGCGTGCAATTTGGAGAAATTATAAGATGTGATCTAAATCCAGCGATACGCAATCGCATGTATATCTTACCACTTGCGCGATTTTAAGAATACCAGGCCTTGTTCTTGTATAGGATGTATCAAATCGAATATTTGGTTGTGTAGTAGTTGTCGTCGATGTCACAGTCGTTGTCGTGGTATGTTGCCCCGGAAATCCTTGGTCCATCATCTCTAGTCACTCTAAAAATAGGCGCGTTATAGTATACAGGGTGTTTGACCAACCCTGGAAAAAATTTTAATGAGAGATTCTAGAGGTCAAACTAAGACGAAAAAAAAAATACTAATTTGTTGATGGAGGCTTGTTTAAAAAGTTATTAACGTTTAAAGTTCAGCCTTTACTGAATTTTTTTCTATAAAGTGGGTAAGATTTCGGGGGTAGATCTATTTACCAAAAATTATTGTAATTAACCCCGGCAACCGAAAATAATTTTTTCCAGAAAAATTTGAAATTTTTTAATTTTGTCGGTTTTCACACCTTCTGGAATTTTTTCCTCGAAAGTGGGTAAGATTTCGGGAGTATGTGGATTCATAAAAAATGATTGTAATTGAGCCTTGCAACCAAAAATAATTTTTTTAGAATCACTTGAAAAAATTTTTTTTCGCCGAAAAATTGACTGTCGATTTTTCTTAAAAATTTGTTTTTCATTTTTAATAAATTTGTTTGACGCTCTACAGAAAAGTTGTTTAATACTTTTTTGTAAGTATCCATGAGCTCTACTTCAGAAAAATGTTTCATTGAAATATATTCACTATTGTAAGAGTTATGGCTGTTTGAAAATTAGACCATTTTCATGGGGTTTCTCTCAGTTTACGGGGTCAAGGAATAACTTTTCCAATATTGTTAGAATTTCTACATATTCTCCACTAAAATACGCGTTGTTTGCATTTTAAAAAATTAAAATCCTCCAATCCATTCAAAAGTTATGACATTTTAAGGATTCGCATGAAATTTCAGGGAAGCATTTCTGGCTTCGCATTAGATTTTCGATAAAGAATTTTTTTCTCGAAAATGCGTAGGATTTCGGGGTATGTCTATTCACCAAAAATGATTGTAATTGACCCCTGTAACTAAATATAATTTTTCTATTATAATTTGAAATTTTTTAATTTCGACTAAACATTTCAGTACACACTCGAATTTTTTTCTCGGAAGTAGGTAGGATTTCGGGGTATGTCTATTCACCAAAAATGCTTGTAATTAACCCCTGTAACTAAATATAATTTTTCTAGTATGATTTGAAATTTTTTAATTTCGACTAAACATTTCAGTACATACTCGAATTTTGTTTTCGAAAGAGGGTAGGATTTCGAAGGTATGTGTATTCACCAAAAATTATTGTAATTGAGCCCCACAACCGAAAATAACTTTTTCAGAACGATTTGAAATTTTTTAATAACTTTTTAATGGAGCCTCAATCAAGAAATTGATATTCTTGATTTTCGTCTTATTTTGGCCTCTAGAATCCCCTATTAAAATTTTTCCCAGGAGTGGTCGAACACCCTTTATATTTTGAAAAAGTAGTTTTCATTGAACCGAACGAGGCACAGAAAATTATAATCGATCGTATTCGTAACTATTACCGTTAAAAATTCTTATACTCATAAAATCATTAATCGTTAAACGATTTAAATAAAAAGCGATTGCCTAAAATATCAAACGTCCAGGTGAAGTAATTTTACGAGTGAACGTCCTTCAGAAAACGAATGAAAAACCACGATCGAAAGTAACAAATGAAGAAAAAAGAAAAATACTAGTCAGATCGATTACCGACCTATCGTGCAAACGCAAAAAGGCGTATACGCGTTTGCGTCTCAGATTAACGTGGATGATCACGTTGTATTTAGTTCTTAATCAAGACTGTTCGAGAAAATTATGTCATATCCCGGCGGCATACTACAAGAATTACTTAATGTTATGGTGTGAAGTCATCTCGACTGAAAATAGCGAATGACAGCCTTTCTATCTCATGAACAATGAGCTGTGATACACGTAATACACGAGAGAGTACAAATTCCGTACATGTATTTAGAAATATATATCACTAGGTATTTACGAATGTGGGCGGTGAATTCGATTGTGGCACGTTATCGTGGTATAACATACAGAAGTAGCCGCAAGTGATACGAATACAGAAAATATGATGCTAGTTGAAAAGGCATAAAACAAAAAGAAGACCGCAATATTTGCAAATATATTTTCATAAGGGAGTAGTATTTCTATGATAGGAATTATTGTAACGAGCTTCTCTGACATGGTTATAGTAAACGTCCAAGAGAAATATTTTCTTTTTTACGTGGTGTTATTTCAATAAACTTCTCTTCTTCCACGTGTTTCTATCAACAATCAATTACGTCAGGAATAATCGTGACCTACAGCTTCTGCCGTTCCGTAAGTAAGTACGTTAGCTCGAAATAGCGGGAAAAAGAGTAATTTAGCATTCTCAGAGTGTAATTAAACTACTGTTATCGTCACTCTGTTGCTTCGTATTCATATCTGTTGCGTCTATTTCTTGTACTGTATTATCGGTTTTCTTGTTTTCGATTTCAATTTTCCACGAGACCGCACGATGGAATTCCGAGACGTTTGTTTCTATGTATGATGCATGACATACCTGACTTGACAGACTGATCTACGCACTCGATTATTTCCGAATGCTATTTATTTCGTATACACAAACAAGAGACTTTCTGCCCTTGAAACACTCGAGAGCGAAAAACTTGAACTTCTTCCTTTCACCGAAACAGAACGCATGAATATATAACAGTGAAAACGACACTGAACCGTTTCGAAACAAACTACACTATTACAAACGAATCTATGCAACCTGGTAGGTACGTTACAAACTGTACGATGTACGATTCAGCCCCACTTCGTTGTCCATTCACAGTTCTCTCTAGCGGAACAATTCGGCACTAATTTTGTCAACTTGTACGATAAATTATTCTTACAGGCATAGATATTGCCTACCTCAACCGCAAGCGTAGCTTGTAGGTCGATAACACATATTATTTATGTATTTATCTAATTAATAATTAATTTTGATGAACCTTAAAAATACCGACATTGTTTTTAGAGCTTTATTTTAATATTGTTGATTAATATCAATATTTGATTTCTTGACCAACCCCAGGATTGAATTAAGTTAAAATTGATAAAAACTAAGAAATTCTATGGAAAATAAATCATTATAAATACATATGCCTTACTTATTATTATTGACTTACAATAAAATTGAAATGTCTTCAAATATTACGTTTGTATTTAGATTTGAAGTGAGTTAGGTTAGTTGTATATGTAGTACGATATAACATGATCTTGTAAGCAAGTTAAACCGGGAGACTTAAATTTACGTTCGTATATATTGTTGACAATACACATTGTTGTACCGATTAAAAGTTTAATACGCTTGACAGTTTAAATCGTTTTATGTTTTGAGCAAAAACAATTACGCGAAGTATGTTAGAAATACCTGCGTAATTGTCGAACAATTTTGATTCAGATGTTGACATATGAGGTTATGATGTTAATATAAACAATATTATTCTATAATCTGCGTTGATAGACGATTATTTGTAAAAGAAACTGGCAATTTGGTTTTGACATCTAATTGAAAGGAATGGTTTCCACTCGAGGACCAAAATTCAAATTCTGTGATGGTGAAAAAGTTCTTTGTTATGAACCTGATCCTACAAAAGCAAAAGTACTGTATGACTCAAAGGTATGTTATGAGTACAGAAGAATTAATTAAATAATATAATTATCCCTAACAAAGTCAGTTTTCTTTCTTATTAACTCCTGTTGATCATACATTGTACAGATAGCACAAAATTTTAAAACTATGACATTTATAGATCAGGGCTGACTATAAAAACTTATGTAATGTTAAAACAATTATCCATTAATATTGAATGATTCATATAAATTTTTAATTTGAAACAACATCGAATGATACATATATTATTTAACCTGAAAATGTTCTAGGTACTTGATGTTATAGTTAACAAGGATCAAAGAGGAAGAAAAGCTATTGAGTATTTGATACATTTTCAGGTAAGTAGCAAAGAATCAACCTATACAATCAAATTAATTAAATTGAAATTATTGTATAATAATAGGGATGGAATTCTTCGTGGGATCGTTGTGTAACAGAGGAATATGTATTGAAAGACACAGAGGAAAATCGTCAACTCCAACGAGATTTAGCACAGAAAGCACAGTTACATTTGTACGTATCCAATAAAATTTTACTTGGACTATATGAAAAGGAATTTATGAAGGCAATCGAAAAGAATACAATTCGTAATTCAAATATATGTAAATTCAACTGTATATAGAGGAGCTTATTTGTATCGCCGGGAGCGTAAGAAAAGAAGTCACAAACTGTCAGAGAGATTAAATGAGAATGAAAATCGAGAACCACGACGGAGAGCAAGGAGCGGTGGTAGTCGAGCAACATCTGCTACAACTGGATCATCGGAAGATGGTAGTTCGGGACAACATGCAGATTATGACACAGAGGTCTTAATATTTTCTTATACAAAGAACAAAACAATTAGTACTTGAAAATTCAAAATACTTGAATTGTACAAAATCTAAACAGGCATAATTATTTTTATTAATAAAGGAAGTTATCACCGAAGAGGATACAGAAAGTAGTTCTGATTACGTTGGTGAAACAAGTGATGATGAGGATAGTGGTGGTGGTAGTCAATCAGGTGCCAGTATAAAGCCAGGAATTGATCTCTATATAGGTACTGTACTAAGAAGAATTCTAGATCAAGATTATGACCTAATAACTAACAAGAATAAGGTATTTCCTTTGATGAAAATATATAAAAGTATAATTTACCAAATACAACCTAAACTGAAGAAATTACTGAAAGTAATAAGAAACGTGCATTTTAGCTAGCTGTTCTACCTTCACAACCTACTGTTGCGAGTATTTTAGAATCATGGGTACAACATTTTACAACAACACAACTGACTAACATTCCAGAAAAACCGCAAAGGAACAAAACAAATAATACTATAGAAAAAACAGTCAATGAAATAAACATATGCAGAGAAATTGCGGATGGATTACGTATATACTTCGATTTTACATTACATGACCTCCTTCTATATAGGCAAGAACGAGAACAATATTATAATTTAAAATCTTCTTTCTTATATACTGAACACTCTACACTTGTAAAAGAAGAACCAGTCGAGTAAGTATAACAATTCAACTTTTTTAAACTTATGTAAAATGCAGTTAATTTTAAAATTATCAAAAATGTTTCCCACAAAAACTATATAATATTATTGTACTCTTAAGGAATTCCGAGGTATTAGTTAAAGAAGAATATGAAGATACTGAATACGCTCATTTACCACCATTTCAAGAACATGATCAAGAAGTAGACAATGCATCAAAAACATTTACAAATTCTAAACGAAGATTAAGGTCGTGCAGAGTGAGTTCCATTGATGAAAACAGACAACTAAGATCTTACGAAGAAATCAAACAAGATACAGGAAACTTGTCAAGGTAAATAGAATTTATAACCTGTTCCCCGTGAATGCTCTTTGCTCCGTGTGAACCGCGATGAAAGGGTTAAATGATCAATATTATTTGTTTGATATCAGGATGTAGTTATAAAATTGATAATTTCTTTTTTTTTTGTAGTATTGCAAGTACAAGTTCTCGTTGTTCTAGCCCACGTGGTGTAACATTAAGAATACCGGTTGTTACATCTGCTCAAGTCAATGCTTTGCTTCAACAATCAAATAAATGGAGATTAATACCCGAATCTACAAAATCTGAAGATCTTCGAAGTCCTTCCACCTATTATGGTGCCATTCACTTAACTCGATTATTCGGTATGTAAACACCTTTTTATCGCACATTTCTTAGCAGTAAATTTTTATAAATAAATTCATATAATCGAATAATGTACTTTTTCAATTTTTAGTTAAGCTACCAGATTTACTCCAGTCGGCAGATATACCAAATAAAAAATTGAAAATTCTTTTAAAATATTTGGATATGTTTCTCAGGTAACTTTTCTCGATATACATTTTAAGTGTTCTTTATTCCTCCTAATTGTCTATTATATTCTTAATATTGTAGTTACTTAGAGATGCATATAGAATGGTTTGGAGAACAATTTTACATGCAGGTCGAAAATCAACTACTTTCTCAAGCAAGTAATTCTTAACAAAGTAATGATAACATACATGCTTCCTCTATATTTAATTACAGATATGATTGTGTATACATTATGTGAGTACTATGTGTGATGTTCAGTAAGAATGTATGTTTATGATGTCAGTGTAAATGATAAAACTCTTTTTTTATATTAATTACCAAATAGTGTTGTATATGCCTTCCATAATAAAACTCTCCCTATAGATCATTTCTATCCAAACTATAATTGATAATATACAGTTAATTGTTAGGAATAACACGAAATACAGAAATTACATATGTTATAAAAAATTATATTTATAATTTCATTTTTTAAATAAAGACTTTAAAAAAATTATAATATGTTATACGTTTTTATTTATGGAAACATACGACAGAATATTGTCAAACTTCATCAACCCGTGAATTTGATTTTTGATTAAGAGGACAGTAATTAAATCTTTTACCCTAATGATAATACAATTGTACTCCACTCGCTCTATTTCACGCTCTCTTCCTTAATATAAACATAACTCGAGCCTTGCTTCGAGGAGAAAAAAAATAAAGCGATTAAATTTCACCTATCCGTTCTTCAGGTTGAGATAGCCCGGGTACTGATCGAGTCATTCGAGTCTCAACTTGAAAGATATTACCGCATACTTCGTTTAGCGAAAAAACTCTATAAATAAAACAATGTGACTTGCAACAAACCAAAACGAGAAGACGTGCCCTAAATAAAGATAAATTCAGTAAAAGTTATACAAGTTACTATTTATGTATAATAATTAGTTTTGCAGTGACAGTGGCAGTAAAAGCAAATGTATAAAAATATTGAATAAGGCAATAAAAGTAAAAATATATTTATCGCCTTGTAAGCGTTGAACCTACAAGGCACAATAAACCAATAATAAACTTCTGTGACAGAAGTTTTGTCGCAAAATTACATTATGATGATGCGACAGATTTTTTTGGGGTAAACGAAGTATAGAAACATATTGCGAAGTAAAGAAGAAGGAATACATACGTGGTGACTTTCCCCTTACGCGGTACGAATCTATGTTACCAAGTTCACTTACTTAGCAGCGGCACTGATAGATATCAGCTGTTCTTAGTAAATAAAAAACTGTGCTTTCGATATGGACATCGTCGATTATGTTACGGAAATTCAAGAAAATAGCGAGGAAAATGATATTACGTTGGAATATAAAAGTGATTACCTGTCGGAAAGATACGAGGAAAATGAAAGATGGTCTTACATGCCAGATTCCATTCTTCTTAATATTTTTCAATATTTGACACCAAGGGAGTTGACAATTGCTGGAGAAGTATGCAGGTCATGGCATAGAGTATCTTACGATGAATTTCTTTGGAAAGATTTATTCTATCAAACGTATAAAATAGATCCGGATGTCGGCATCATGCCAGGTTAACTTTATTGTAAAAGTAACAAGGAACAAAGATAATATATTTGGTTGGCGCGTATGAAATGTCGTTTTATCTACTAGACATCAAAGGCATGAATCAATTAAGATAATTCCTAAGCGATATTTAACACTTCTTCAATAATCTATTGACCATATTACTTTTATTTGATAAAAATCAGGAAGTTTGGTAATCAAAATTTCTTTGAATGTTGTTCCAGTTGATTCAATGTTGAACTATGTATTGTTAGCCCTATATTGTAAAGACTAATTACTAATACTAAATTTATTTTTGTTCTTCTGGAAATACTAATATTTTAGTAAATTTCTTTCTTGTATCAGGTACAACAATCAATAATCAAATATTTTTGAATTTCAGAGAAACAACATTTTATAGACACCAATCTAATATATAATTAGCAATCATTATTGATACTAAAATTCATCTCTGCATTCCTTATACTTTACGCTTGGCAGTATAATTTAGAAATCATTATATTTCGTAGGGAAAACTTCTTGGTTAGGAGAATTTAAACGTTTAACATATCATATACCGCTTTTAGAAACTGAGGTACTTAAAGGACATTCTCATCAAGTATTACACGTTAGCTTTTCACACAATGGAAAAATGTTTGCTACATGTTCAAAAGATGGATATATTTTTGTGAGTCGCTTTTATTTACTACTCTATAATTATGCAACTCTTTACAATGTGTAATTATATCCGAAAGCATAAAACTAGTTATATAATTCATTCTAGGTTTGGGAAAGCCAATACCCTGTTAAAATAAAATATCTTCATGATATGAAGACATTTAGTTGGGAATATACACAATTTTCACAATTTAATTCCTCTGATACCTTATTACTTGTTTCTGGTGTACATTTCGGAACTCCTCTTAGCACTTCAGGCGAAATAGCAGTATTTAGATTAGCACGTAAGAAAATAAATTTTATTGTTTACTATTCTAAGATTAATAATACAAAAGTATACTACAGATAGTTACTTGACTTCATTTGTTACAGCTGGGTTCGATCTGCAATGTAGAGTAGTAAATAAACCATATGACATATTTGGTACATGGTATAGTGAACATTACCTTTTAAGTGGGAATCTGTGTTGGTTAGCACATTTAGTTACCACTAGTCTCCTTTGGCTCAATAAGGCAAATCAAGAGTCATCTAGTGAACATATACCCATTATGACACAACTTTTTAGGTATCCACTATACATTACAGATTGATTTACTATTTTAATGAAACAATTTCTCAATAAAGAATGTTTTATATATTTCAGGTTTTATAATGGAAATGCTTCATCAATACGAGCAATTATGGTGGCTAATTGTTTAACACCTGAACAAAATGAATCTGAAGAGCAAGAAAATCAACCTTCATCTTCTAGCGTTAAAGAAGGAAAAGATAATTCACCAAATCATAAAGACATTTCATCTACATCTTATAACAATGCTACTCAAAAAGAAGAACCTGTTGTTCTTCAACGTGCATCATCTAGAGTACAGTAAGCTATTTTTATGTAATATGTTTTTGTACATATATTTTTCCTTAACTGAATAATACATGCAACGAATGCTGAAAAAATTTCTTTGCGTTAAGCAAATTATATGCAAATAGATGCAGTACATTGGAAGGTATATTCATGAATTGGAAAAAACTTGGAGATGATTTCGAATATGCCAACTCCATTCAATACAATCAGGAATATAGACTAGTAGAAATGGAAAAAGATGTTCAGGACAATGACAAAGACAGTGAAAGTTCTCAGTGGGACGAGGAGTATGAGTCAGAAGGTAAAGAAAACTTGTTGTAAATAACATTATTACAATCTTTCCAAAACATAAATTTCATTCTAACATTTAATTACAGAATCGTCAAACGCAGAAGAAGACGATACTGATGAATTAGTAAACTGTGAAAAGTATCTTATTTTCACAACTGGATCTAAAACTTATACACCACATCAAGTGGGTTTCAAGAGGATAAAGAATTTGAAATTTCCAACAAGATTAGATCCAGGTCCGTCATTGCGTGAAAGATTAGCACAAAGAGAAAGAGAACGAGAATGGCAAAATTCCTATGCTAATTATTCGGATTATGAATCTGTAGCCGATAAATTTGATAAAGTAGATCATGTAATTGATTTACATGGAAATATTATAGGAATGGGACTTTCTCCAGATCATAGGTTAGTTATTTATCTTGTACATATAAAATCCTTGCACTACTTTTTTTCATATGTAAATCACATATGTATCCCCAGGTATTTATATGTAAATACAAGACCATGGCCAAGAGGTTATGTTATTACAAATCCGTTACAACCACCACCAATAGCTCAAGAAATTGACATACATGTAATTGATTTAGTAACACTAAAACAAGTTGGCACCATGTTAAGAGCTCATAAGGCTTACACATCAAATAACGAATGTTTTTTAATCTTCCTTGATGTATGCGATGAGTATGTGGCAAGGTAATCCATTATATATTTTTTAAATCTACTTCACGAACGTCAAAATTTGCCCTCAAAATTGCGTCAAACATTGTGTCACACTAAAAATACTCTTGTATCATTGATTCGCGAATCGCGGACTTAGACTACTTTATTGAAAGGTCTCGGAAGAGAACTCTGGAGTACTTATAAGGTTCGGCTATTTTACAAGACTCATCTTGTTGAAGTCAGGGTAGGCTCGGCTAATCAAAATTAAATAATAATTTGGTTGCTACTTTTGGTGGTCGAATGTCGTCTCTAACTATTTAGCGCAATTCTAACCCGGGCGACCGAGAACCCTGTCCTTACGTATGCCCTTCCGATCGTACTTTGGTTTCTCTTTGAACCGGGTGTAAACATCCTCGGTACGTGCCGTGGAACACTCGCGATAGTCCTCGATAATTACCGATACTTCGAGAGTCGTGTTCCGTGACACGTGCCTCCTTTCGATTTTGGGAATCGTTGTCAAGGCTGCTTCCCTTTGTCGCTTGCCGGCCTTTTAGCTCGAGGGTTTGCAACGCAACAAACACCGCCTTTAATTATATTACTTACTATATTGATATATGTATAGGCCAATGCTGGTCTGAAATTTTTCAATAAACAAAAATACTTTCGTACACGAAGCTTGACGCAATTCTGAGAGGAGTACGCAAGTCTCGACATGCTCATGTTAGTAAAGAAAGAATCTCAATTATATTTACTTATTGTGTCAATTATGTTATTAGTGGTGCTGAAGATAAACATGGCTATCTGTGGGACAGACACTATGGAGTATGTTTAGCTAAATTCCCTCATTCTGATGTTGTTAATTCAGTTGCTTTCAATCCACGTGATCCTGAAATGTTAGTCACAACTAGCGATGATTATACCGTTAAAGTTTGGCGTAGTAGATCTATGGTACGTACATTGGGCTTGAATGCAGACTCTTATCCCAGGGGTACGGAAGTACGAAATAGGCGCAAATGTCATAAAACTGGTTGTAATATTGATTGACTAAAGACTATTAAATTTCCAATCTAAAGTCTTTAAATGTATATTAACTTTTAATACCTATATCTTGTACTTAAATTTGTACTATATTAGATTTCTATAAAATTATATAAAGTTAGAAATTCTATTTTCGACTAGAATAAAGAATGAGTGTGGCTATATATTTACAGATTTCAATCTATAAATATTTACATATTTAAATGTTTTAATAACCAGAACATTGCTAAAACAAGCAGCACATCTTTCGTTATAGGACACAAGATTAAATTCTTAATAATTCAGAAAAGAATTTATTCTTTTATGTAACATTGTTTATTACAGTTAAAATGCTTATATTTTTTTAAATAGTTTCATAAGCGTATACAAAAACTTTAAGTTTTTATGGCTGATTCATTTTTGTGCGAGTTTATCTTTTATCATTCTGCTATCATAGTTCGTATGTACTTAAGGATTAGAACTTGCAAAGATAAGTTGTATATTTTTAAACATTTATAAGGCATAAAAGTGAGAATTTTTTAAACATTTTTATGGCATAATTGACATTTTCTCTTTATGTAATTCTTTTGACTGATATTTGTAAATTAATCTAGAATAAGTATTGATTGTACTTACACGCGTATTTCTAATGTATATTAAATCGGGAATTATCAAACTTAGACTTTGTACAATATTAAAATTTATACAAACTGAATATAAAATTAAAAATGTGATCCAATTTTTGACACGACAATTTGAGGTATTTATTTCTCCAAAGAAAGAACAGAGTAATTCTTATTGATACATACGTACTGTATCATTAAAACTGTACAAATGACTACATTAATTATAATTAACTGTATTCAAATTAAGGAATTATGTTTTAAATTAGAATTATAGAAATGTTTTAATATCCACTATACATGTAATATAATATTATTCAAAATAAAGATACTTAATTGGTAAGGAAATACACAAACAATTGTAGTAAAATGAAAAATTAATAAAAAGCAATTTCTTGTTACTAGTGTTTAATATACATATACCTGTCAAAATAGTATATAGGAGGAATATATTTAGAGATAGTAGATAAATAGCATATAATACAAAATTATGAAGAAATTGTTGAAATTTACATTATGAATATTTTTTTTGCAAGGTAGTTGAATTCATTGATAACCTTTTTGATTACTTACAATAATACAAAACATTTTAAATAACTTTCATACTTTCAAAATGGCTAAGATATAATATACATGCTCTGTATCATAGGAACTATGAATACTACTAATGATACCAACAAGATGTGTAAATATATACATTTAAAATTATTTAATAAATATCGATATTTATAAGTCATACCAACTCAATATACTATACATCCATTAGATAATATAACAACAATTGACCGTATAAATAATAAAAGTCTATATTTTTCGTCTCTTTCTTTTTAATAATAATGATATGTCCTACCAATTTTTTATTGAGAGTATAAATACTGTAAATCTGACTGGTAGTACTTATTCAAAAATGTCAATGCCAATAATATGAATATTAATAATATAGTTGTATTAAAAATTGTAATTCTTCCACTGATATTTCGAATTTCCTGTAAAATGAAATTTAACATCATACTTATCATTGGCATTACACATTTCATGCAACACAGAATAGTAAAAATTTGAGTTTCATACCTATTCTTCATCTCCTAAATAACATTGATACAAGAAACATACAGGTGATGCTTCTTTCATTTGGAAAAAGTATGACATCAATACTTATGTAGATGCTTTTACTATTGATTCTGTACACAAATATACAAACATTTTAAGCAAATTATACATTATTAAAGTTACACACATACTGGTTTTAATAGATTAAATTACCAGAATTAGGAGAAATTCCTTCTTCTTTAGAAGTTTCTGTACTATGCTGTATAATTCTCTTATGAACATCTTTATGTCCATGACAATGTTCACATTCATCATCACTATCTTCAGAACTACTTTCGCCGAAAGTTCGTGGTTTTTCGTAAATGCAACAACCTAAAATATCATGTAAATATAAGTAAATAATAAAGCATGAAAATTATTATATCAAAAATGGGCAATTGTTTAATGAAAATTTACATTTAGACTTCTTTTTATTCATATGTTCATTGTCCACGGTACCCTGAGTCCACTGAACCTTCTTGTTAGATTTTGGTTTTCTCAGACGTAATCGAACAGTTGGTACATCCTGGAAAAGTAAAAAAAGTAACAGCATAATTATTGTCCTTTGTATTTGTAAATTGATAAGCGATATAACTATAATAAATCGTAAAAACATGTTTAAAAAGATATTTATTTTTTTGTTAACTATACATAAATTATTTCTTACTATAATAAGAACATATAATGAAAATTTATATATTTAAAATATATAATTTATTTCTTTTATTTAATTCATTTACTGATAAAGTTTAAAGATTACATATTTTTCAAAAACAATTTTTTTTATTGCACCACTTTAGTTCTCTTTAACATATTTATTTTATCATCAGAATAGTTCAAAACACATTTTAATATTTCTTCTGTATGTTGTCCCAACATAGGAGGTGCTAATCTAACTTTATTTGAAGCATAACTGTAGTTTACAGCAGGACCAACAACTTTTATGTTCTTCCCTGTGGAATGTTCCATTTCTTGTACCATTTTTGTGTGTTTTACATGAGGATCTTCAAATACCTATAAAATTGTCTTATGTAAAGGTAAGTTTCAAGCTATCCAAACATTTATTATAATTTATAATTTATAAAATAAATTAAGTTGATTTTTATTATCTGAACATCCATTAGTTTATACCTGTTTTAGTGTATTTATTGGACCATATGGAAAAGAAGAACCATCAAATATGACTACCCATTCTTTATTACTTCTTTTTTTGAATTCCCTCCTAAGAATTTGTAACAGTTCATCTCTGTTTTCTACTCTAGCACTGTTATTTTTAAATCTATCATCATCAAACAATTCTGGTAACTGCATTTTTTTAAGTAGATCTAAAAATTGCACGTTACTTCCTGTTCCAACAGTCATATATCCATCTTTTGTTGGAAAAGCTTCATATGGTACGATGCTTTCATGTTCAGAACCCCATCGTGTTGCTTCTTTGTTAGCATTTATATAATTTGAACCAATATTTATTAAACTAGCAACTTGTGTTGCTAATAAATTACAATTAATCCATTGTCCCTTATTGGTTTTTGTTCTTTGATATAATGCTGTTATTATAGCTCCATGAGCATATAAACCTGTTGCTAAATCAGTTACAGCTACTCCAACTTTACAAGGTGGTCCATCCTTTGGACCTGTTATGTCTAACAAACCTCCTATGGAAGCAGCAATTACATCATATCCTGGTCTATTCATATAAGGACCTTCGTATCCATAACCAGTCAAAGAACAATATATAAGGTGTGGTGCTACCTTGGAAATGTCTTCATATCCTAAACTCATTTGTCCTAACTTTCCAGGAACATAATTCTCTACCAAAACATCAGACTTTTTTGCCAGTTCATAGATTATATCTTTACCGTTTTTTAAGTCAATGCATATGCTCTTTTTGTTTCTATTAACACTAAGAAAATAAAGTGATTCTTGTGTTCCTTCCACAAATGGTGGACCCCACTTTCTTGCTTCATCTCCACCACCTGGTCTTTCAATTTTTAAAATCTCAGCGCCAAGATCACCAAGGATCATAGTACAATAAGGACCAGCCACAATCCTTGTTAGATCCAAAATACGAATACCAGCCAGAGGTGACCTACAATCTTCGATAGTTGTACAAAGATTTCTTTGAATCTTGATACTACCCGCACTTAATACAAATCTTGTTCTTATTGCACACTCTGACAAGAAGGCAAGCATGATGTATAATTTTGTATGCTTCCAATCCACAGTAAATTGTCTTATTTTCACAAATAACTTTTATTATTCTCACAAAATCACAAATTTACATTCAATTACACAAAATTGGTAACTCTTTCACCACAAACAACTTTATGAAGGTTTAATACTACACCTTATTAATAGTATCAAACACGTACGCGTAGTTTTTTATAAATGTAAATACGAAAAAAAAGTGTTTTTACTTCAAATATACTGTCATACTATTTTTCATTGATGTAAAAGACAAAAGAAGTATTTTTTAATTTTAAATATCAATTACCGTATTATTTTTTATAAATTAAAAATACAAAAAAGGCGTTTCTATCTCAAATATTTACTATCATATCTGAATAATGACGTAGTATCGTGTTGAGATAAGCATACCTGAGATCCAGAATCTGTAACATTTGTCTCTAAAACAGTTTCTGTTTGTAATTGGGTAGCCGATTGCTCAGACATCACTGATCTCTCCATCTGGAATCCCTCGTCTTCAAATTAGTACGATAAAACTACATATAATTGTTTCGCCGTGATACAATATTACGGTTACTTCATACTGTCATTATTCGTAATCTGATAAAAACGACGCCATGTTTAAAATTGGTATGAGTCTGTTTACCGGTCATTATTTTCGATACATTTGCGAAGAAAAATTGTTTTTCAATTCATACGCAACAAACGTAATTATCTATTTACAATATATATATGCACGTCTTACATTTTGCTAATATTTTTTCAATCTGATTATAATGCAAAAAATAAGTACACAAAATGATCGAATTTTATACTAACTTCGAAAATAATCGAAATATTTTGCCATAATAAAATACAATGAAATTCAATTTTAATTTTGACATTTATTAGCAAATATAAGCAATATATTCGCCTAGTATATTTATATTGTTTTGAAAACAGATATTACGGTGTTTATAATTGCCCGTAAAGATGAACAATTTGCTAAACTACCGTGTAGTGACTGTATGAGAGGTTTGCTGTATTTGTAAGATTTCCTATAAATACACGAAATCCAATGTCTAATTTTTCACGGAAATACATACTGAGATCGATAACAACAACTGTGGCTTCACTGTATTAATTTAATACTATTTTAGACTCCATTGATATGGAGGTAAGGATTCGTTTGCATTTCAGGTACATAAAGGTTATGCGATCGTTTTAAAATTCATTGAACGCCGTAAATATATACGTATTGCGTCTTCAATAATACTGTCTTTTTTTTTTTGTAGCCAATTACTAAAGTTCCTCTACCATTAGAACCAATAAAGTCAAATCAAGTGGAGGACAGAAGATTGTGGGTGGGCAATTTAGATTTAAGAATTAATGAGTAAGTATTTATGTAAATTATTTCTTACAAGGGAAGGTCATAATTAAGACAACAGCTTTTTAAATGAGACAAATTGTAGGACATCATTTCATTCTAATTTATAATTGTAAAAGGTCTTTGTCTTGTTCATGATCTTTCATTGTTAGGCTTCTATAGTATAGTATTTTACTACTGAAAAATAATATAATCTCATAATGGAAAATATCTGAAAAAACTAACTCTTTATCTGTCAACTGGTACCAACTCCTAAAACTCGTCCAAAAACATGGAACAATTGAAAAGTTCGACCTCCTATTCCACCGATCAGGCCCACAAGCTGGTCAACCAAGAGGATACGCATTTGTTACCTATAAAACAATTGAAGATGCAGAAGCAGCCAAGGATGCTTTGCATAACTTGAAAGTAGGAGCAAAAAATATTATTGTCCGATGGGCTCATAGTGTGACAGAGGTACTACTAAAATAATATTTTTTATCTTTATTAATTATATAAAAATTAGTAACGGTGTTTCATTTTAAAGTCTGACATGGATAAACCAAAACCAAAAATAGACATACCTGCTTTGGCTGGAGCTAAGAAAGAAGATAAAAGAATAAGGTAGGTTGTTGGTTCAATAATATTTTCATAGTACAAAAAAATATTATTAACATTATTTATATGAATATCTTCTTTACAACAGTCGTGAAACAGCAATTCAAGCGATAGAAGCAAAGCTTAAATTGATGAAAGAATCGGAAGAAGAATTTGAACTAAATAAACCTTTGAATGGGTCACCTGTAATACATTTATATCAAAAACCAGAAAATCCAAAACCGTCCACGTCGACCCGTTATCATAATCGAAATCACTATCACAATAATAAGCCATATAACCGTTACAAACCTAGGAGATAATTTAAATCCTTTTTTTTATTTCATAGTGTTGTGATTAAAACTAAACAATTTATTTTTACCGACCAACATTTGTTCCATGACCATAGTTCATATATTATTTATATTTTCTATTTAAATGATCTCTGTGTATTAAGTTTTTTGTACTATAAAGTCTTATACTTTTTAGTTGATCTTTTGTATCGTTTTTTACTAATCAAACATGATTCCTACAGTGATGTAAGCGCGTTAGATACACGAGTATCTTAATTGATAATGCAATGCTTAATATGTACATTGATGTACATGTATTTTCATAATCTATGATATCTTTTTATAATAAACGAATATATATATTAAACACGTTCATCCTTTTATTTAAGATTACGGAACTCAAAACATACAAATATAAATGGCAAGTAATCAAATAAAGTGAACATTAAATGATTACTGTGATGGTTACTTTTATTATATTTACAATAGAATTGTTTGAATAATTTTACATTTCATTTTTCTTAGCATTTTTTGTTTTACCACGCATATGAAATGGTAAAGGTACTATACCAGGACATGGTACTTGATTAGGAACTGTGCAAATACAACTTTTTGAACAACCAACACCAAAATTTGCAGGATTGTCTTGTTTTCTCCTAATTATATTTTCAATTTCCAATTGGTCTTGTGTTTTACCTACCACTTGACAAAGATGCTGTAATATATCATCCTTACTCTTGTTATCCACATCAATTAACATAGTTTTGCCATTACCTGTGTAGATTAAAGAGAGTTTTAGATTTATCACTGGCAACTATGTAATATAATGGACATTAAAATAATTTTAAAAGGTATACATTTATTAAGTGAACCTTTTGTACGTACCATAATAACATCTTATGAAAGGTGTTGGTGTCAAATTTCTAAAAGTAATAACCTGCACTGCTGGATTTTTATATTTAATTTGAGGTAAATTCCAAAACACAAAATCCCTAAATATAAAGTATATGTGAAATTTGATGTACGAGACATAAAGATTTTATAATTGCAATTTCAGAAAATATATTTAAAAAAAATATCTAATTATAAACCACGTTATATGAAACATAAAAAATATCATAGTACGTATTTTTATTATCGAAATTCATCAATTTGTTTATAGTTTTTACAAACATACAATTTTGTAAGCATAACTTGATGAAAATAACCTAAAACTTGCCTAGTTCCTTGATGATTTGATCCGTGTGTATTATAATTAATGGAAAATATATGTATCGCATCTTTGAGAATTAGTTTGCCAGCTTCTAAATATTTTAATGTTCTACGTATAGGACTTGGACCGATCATAAACGGCATTTTGACTGTTTTTTAATAAAAATGATCTAAAGAACAAACTTATATTTTCACTGAGTTCCCCAAATTAGACACGTTTCTGTTGAAATGAAACATGAAATTTGTATTACAAACATGTACAGATTCCATTTTTAAAGATTTCATTTTACATTAAATGCATTTTAAATATCATTTTTTCGTTATCACATTTAAATTTTTATTTTTTTTTGCGACATTTCTAAATTTGTACTAAATGAACTAGAAGTCTGAAAGTACAAAACGTATGTACCTACAACAATATGAATTTATTACATTATACAACTTCTTCCGTTTTTAAGTAAGAATTATTTCTGTTGTACAGTCGTGTAATAACTCTCATAACCTTGCGTTTCGTATCAAATTAACTAATATCATCAATAGCGATGAAATCTTTTAAACGTATCTTTGTTTATACGGATTATGGGTTTTTTCTATAAAAATTTGATTTTTCACCGTGTGTACTACCTGTACTGTTGATACAGAGTTAATTTGCTATAGATACGGTACAGAGATGCCAGAAAAGCACCACCGGGTGCACACGCACACATGCCAGATCACGCGTACGTGAGCTCGTGGAGTTTCGGAAAGTCGACAAAGGCAAACTGACGCATGCCCTCTTTCTTGATTCTCCGAAGCTGCCCGAAGTAATTTCGGATCGCCTCGTGGAAGTCGAGAGAGAAAGGCTTCACATTTGCCTTCTCGCTCTTAACAACTGAAATATATGGACATACATAGGAATAATAAAAAAAATTTCTTTTTTTTCAATAATTAAAATATAGTCAGAGGGTCTTAAAACGTCTATTTCCGTAAAATAAATTTTACAATATTTTTTTCATTATAGGTACTTTGCTCTATGTGCACCTACATAAATGCATATAAGATTTCGTTTAATTTTTCCTTTCTAGAAAAGATAGAAGAAAAGTTTATTTGATCTTAATTCTTTTTAAAATTTATATATGTACTAAAACTAAACTAAAATGTTGTAGCATTTCGATCAATGCCATTTTTAATGTAAATTGTTATGATAAACAAATGAAGTTTCTTACTGATAAAATTTCCTATTACGATATTTTTTTAAAATAAACTACTACACAATTCGACAACTTATCATCAATATAAACGTTTATAGAGTTATAAAAAATATTAATGTTTTTATTTAAATTTATAAAGAACGATATATATTAGTGTCTTACGCCTTCAGTGTATAATTTAGTATGTACTACAATACCTTTACTAATAGTAAACAATAGTAACAGATTTTACGCTTTGATTATAACAGCACTGCTTTAAAAGTAGTTCACAGATTGTAATTGTGTGTAACATTACGTGAGTCGTGAAGTACAGTGCGTAAATAATTTTGAATGAAGACAAAACATTTTTTTTTTTATTTTTGGTCCATATCGCATCAAAAACAAAATTCGTAACTTTGCTGGCGTTACCGACGTCGATATGATTCTTCGAATAATTGTCTTAAACACAGAGTGCGCTACGAAGTTAATTTTTCACGTGGTCGGTATTTCGTTAAAACACAACCTCTAATTGAATCGGTGGTGTAAGCAACATCAAATTGTTGATTAAACAATTGTTTATAAAAGATATATTTATTTCAAAACGTGTCATTTAGATGCAGTGAGTGCTGTGAAATGGGAAGTGACAGATCAACGAAATTTTTCGATCAATAAATAATCAAAGGGAAACTTTCGTCGTCTCACGTACTACGCACTTCATACATAAGAAATGTGACTTTGTAAATCATAATTACATGTAATCATCGAAGTGAATTAACAAATTCAAGAACCCTGTCATCTGCTACCATAAACCGAGAAAAATGTGAGTTATATTTAATTTATACATCATACTGTCATTCGTCAGTACGGTTCTAACGTCATGGTTATTTACGTTATTTTAGTATGTAGACTTACTGTCTTCATTCTTTTTTTCTGTATCTGCAGTTTCTACCTGGGGCATTCTTAGTTATGCGAATTAACGATGTTTTGAAAACGTGGTTGAACCTTTCTTTTCGCAGTATAGGCTTCGCGAGATATTTGAGCTCCCCCCTCCCCGTGAGCGTTATTGGGCAGAGCGAGGATTTGTCATTCGTAATCTGAAAGTTGACATAGCAAGACGTGTCGAGACGTGTCGGCGTTTCGCGACCAACGAGGTGCGTATTTCTAACCTGTTGATATTTCATCATTATTGCTACACGCGTTTACTCTCGAACGTTGCTTTCGTGTAATATTTATACGTTCCTGTTATAAATTAAGTGGGAATTGTCGCAAAAACTGAATCGGCTTTTATGCGTTTTCTTCGATATCTAACCGGCATCGATTCATTACATCTCCCTGAACGAAATAACGTATCTTGTACATCAATTATTGCTTAATTATGATTAGATATGTTTACTTCAATGCGTTTGACTTTAATTTGTATTTTATTTCTCTGGCAGTCTCTAATTGAAATACGACGCCATGGAATATTGGCGCGTAGACACCACGGTAGATGGCAGACAATTCGACTTTCGAAGGGAATATTGGTAACGTTTAACTTATTATAACAAAAATTAACATACATATTAATATTTATATATTTTTATCTATTTATTAAGTTATTTGTTGATACATAATTTTATAATCGGTCCGTATTAAGATAAATCATGAAAATGGTTAATGAATTTTTTAACTTTTTCGATATACATATATCAAAGTACTTTCGATTGTGTGATACTTAGGAATGGCTAACGATAGACATTAAGGGTAAATTGGAATGGTTTACATTTAACTATATTCTGGCCGCGAGTATTATTTATTAAATTGATTGTTTATAAATCTGTCTTTATGAATTGTTGTAATTGTAATTTGCATACATTTTCGATGCAAGTTTAAGAAAACGTAGCAACTACGTAGTTGGAATATGCTATTAAAGCATAAATAATTAACGAACTGTAGCGGCCGGCGACAAGTAAGAAAAAGACTTCCGCTCGCCTCCGAGCCGAGCGACAAGGATGAGTGAAAACATGAGTGAGTGTGAAAAACAATTGAATGCGTGAGTGTATGTATGTGAGTGAATGTGTGGCCGCATCGGGTCAGCTAAAGCGAACCATCGCAGCGCATAGGAAGAATAAAATATTTCCTAAATTTAAACGGCATTTTACTTTCCCGATCCCATAGAACTTTAACTTTTACAAATTTCGGAATATTTATAAAAATTACGATGTATTCAAACATTCGATAAAATAAATATAATCGTTCCTACAACTCTAACTGTGAAAGTTGGTGATATTATTTTTGTAAATTGAATAATTTCTTTGAAGTAATTATTTTCGTGGATAATATTCTATCGTTAAAATACACATCGTTTGATAATGTTTCGCCTTCGAGGCGTTGACCTTTTACGGTTAGTCGTAACGAATAACAGTTCTAAGTAAAGCAGTATTTCTGTTGACGAATATTGAATAAGGAGAGAAAAAAAGAAAACTGATAGGAAAAGCACACGTGTGCTTGTTGTATTTCTTGTCTCCTGTTCCTTTCGTTTCAGCTTCTTTTTCCAGGAAATTTGTTGGCCGCGCGCAATGCGGCCGGTAGATTCAGTGATTGTGCGTAGCAACAGTTTGTTTTCCAGGGTAAAGTGACCCTGAGTAAGTTGTACAACGTAGTCAGGCAAACGCGATAGTAGAAGCAGTGTTTTTTACGCAGTTTTAAAGTATTTCCAGAGCATCGTGGCTCTTCTTGTTTTCTGAATCGCGAGAATAGATTTATTTGTTCGCCGTTTTCAATCTTCGGTCGCGGTAATTTAATTTAATAACTTGTAATAAACATGACAATTTTTTCATTTGAAATTAAAACACGTTTGCGGAATTAGAGTCAGTGCATCACTGAAGAGGATTATTGAGCGATGCTCTACGAGCGAACATTGTAAGTATAAATTTATATTTTCAATTTTTATTACAAATCTCTATAATTTTAACAATAGATTATAATTGTTTTCTTGCTGGCTTCTTACAGTTTCTGGGCCTGATTCTGAAGACCAACAAGACCAAGCTGACTGATGACTGATGACTTGCTCGATGACTTCTACTAGGCAGCAGCATCCCAAAGATACATCTCATGAAGTTCATCATTGGTGAGTCGCATGTTGTTTGTGTTCCTCTGGTCCCCAACCATGTTGTAGGATGAAAGATCCGAATCAATACGGGTGATCAGTTGTATACTTAGTATTTTTGGCAAGTTTAGTGACCGCGGGTAGTTTTCATACCCGTGTCTAGTAACATCTATTGTTATATTTCTTTAGTGCAGGCTAGGGTTTTCTTGCACTTGCGTTTTTTAACGTAACAAATAAATGTTTTACAATATAATATATATTTTTTAGAAAATATATGAATTATTTCCATAATATAATGTGGAGACATTATATTAATTATATGATTGAGTAAAATATAAATATCAATTACTATGATATTATACGCTAATTTTTTCATGTTAATACAATAATTAAATATCAATCGTTTCCCTAGATAATACATCATACGATGTATTTTACGTGCAAAATGGCATTTCGCGACTGGTTGATTTTTGAGTCAAAGTAACTTGCATTGTATATTAATTTCATCTTTTGACGAAGAACCCCGCACAGATCTTATGGAAAATGGTCCCCGGTTAAATTAGCTGAACTTTTAATATGATGTAGTTCATGATGTCTTGATGAAAAGTTCCAACGGGCCCAAGCTCGTAAATTGAACAGTTTCCGAGATACAGGAAATCAAAAGTCAATAATAGTGTACTTTATTCTAGACTACCACGTTTGAGCATACTTGAGTGTAAGAAGCACTGTTGTACACTGGCCATTTATTTGACCCCTTAAAACTCAATAGTAGTACTGTGGGCCCTTAAATATTACCCCTTGAACCCTTGACTCTCTAACTCCCCTTCAGGAGCCAAAATAAAAAAACGCCCAAAAAGGTAAAAAATGGTTCTCTTTTTCAATGTACAAACATGATACACCGTCGACATTAGCATTACCCAGTGTGCACTACGAAGAGGTTGCTCGATCGGATTTTGCACACCATGTGGCCCTGAAAAGAGCCGTTTTTATAGTTCTCTCTATTCGGCCATAAGAATTTCAACATTCATATTGTCTTGATGCTCTCTATTAGGGGCATCTCTGGTCGTATTTAGAAGAGTGCCATCCGAATATTTGGCATGCCTTTGATGACGAGCAAATCCTAAAAACCTTAAAACACTTGCAATATGTACGCATGTACCCAATATTTTGGCACCAGATTGACAGGTGAAGTAGTAACCATTTATTACTTCTACTTCTAGTTCCAGTTCATTTTCGGGAATGTGAAAAATAAGAACTTGATGTTTGGTACAATTCCGAAATTGTGAATAAACTTTTAGTCTTCTAAGGCTGTTATCTACCAACGAAGTGTCAATCTGTAATTCATCGTCATCATCTTTTTGCAGCAGAGGGTCAGGGGGTCAAGGGGTAATATTTAAGGGCCCACAGTACTACTATTGAGTTTTAAGGG